CTTGAGGCAGGGACTCTCCACCCACCCAGAGAGGGCAAGCCACCTTTTTCCGGTCGAGAACCATGGCCTCAGACTTAGGAGAGCTGATCTTCATCCCAGCCGCTTCACACTCGGCTGCAAACCGCCCCAGTGCACATTGCAGGTCCTGGTTTGATGAAGCCAACAGGACAACATCATCCGCAAACAGCAGAGATGAGATCCTGTGGTCCCCAAACTGGACCGAACACAACTCCTGCTCCGGTCATACAGGGACTGGACAGCCCTTAGCAAAGGGCCCCAGACCCCATACTCCCAGAGCACCCCCCACAGGACACTACGCGGGACACGGTTGAATGCCTCCTCCAAGTCCACAAAGCACATGTGGACTGGTTGGGCAAACTCCCATGAACCCTCGAGCACCCAATGGAGAGTGTAGAGCTAGTCCAGTGTTCCACGGCCAGGACGAAAACCACACTGCTCTTCCTGGATCCGAGGTTCGACTATCGGCCGGATTCTCCTCTCCAGTACCCTGGCATAGACCTTACCGGGAAGGCTGAGGAGTGTGATCCCCCTATAGTTGGAACACACCCTCCGGTCCCCTTCTTATACAGAGGGACCACCACCCCGTTCTGCCAGTCCAGAGGTACTGTCCCCGACTGCCACGCGATGTTGAAGAGGCGTGTCAGCCAAGACAGCCCCACAACATCCAGAGACTTAAGGTACTCAGGACGGATCTCATCCAACCCTGGAGCCTTGCCACCAAGGAGCTTTCCAACCACCTCAGTGACTTCAGCCAGAGTGATGGATGAGTCCACCTCCGAGTCCTCAGCCTCGGCTTCCTCCTCAGAAGACGTGACAGTGGGATTGAGGAGATCCTCAAAGTATTCCTTCCACCGCCGGACAACGTCCCCAGTCGAGGTCAGCAGCTCTCCCCCCACACTGTAAACAGTGTTGGTGAAGGACTGCTTCCCCCTCCTGAGGTGCTGGACGGTTTGCCAGAATCTCTTTGAGGCCGTCCGATAGTCCTTCTCCATGGCCTCCCCGAACTCCTCCCAGCTCCGAGTTTTTGCCTCCGCAACCACACGGGCTGCAGCACGCTTGAAGTCCCCCAGGAGAACAACGGAGTCCCCGGTCGGTGCACTGTCTAGTACCCCTCCCAAGGACTCCAAGAAGGCCGGGTACTCTGCACTGCTGTTCGGCCCCTAGGCCGACACCACAGTGAGAGAATTGTCCCCGACCCGAAGGCGCAGGGACGCGACCCTCTCGTTCACCGGGGTGAACTCCAACACACAGTGGCTGAGCTGTGGGGCAATGAGCAGGCCCATACCAGCCCACCGCCGCTCCCCGCGGCCAATGCCAGAGAAATGGAGAGTCCAGCCCCTCTCAAGGAGTTGGGTTCCAGAGCCCAAACTGTGCGTGGAGGTGAAGCTGACTATATCTAGTCGGTAACGCTCAACCTCCCGCACAAGCTCAGGCTCCTTCCCCCCCAGCGAGGTGACATTCCATGTCCCCAGAGCTAGTCTCCATGTCCGGAGACCCAGTCATTGAGGCCCCCGCCTTCGACTGCCGCCCAGATCTCTTTGCACCGGCCCCATATGGCTCCTCCCGCGGGTGGTGGGCGGCCCCACGTCGCTCCTTCGGGCTGAGCCCGGCCGGGCCCTGTGGGGGAAGGCCCGGCCACCAGGCGCTCACTGGCAAGCACCCACCCCAGGCCTGGCTCCAGGGTGAGGCCCCGGTGACGCCAATCCGGGCGACGTAACTGACCTCTGTGTGTGACTCATCATATGGGACTTATGAACCTGTTTTCCTTGGGTGACCCTACCAGGTTCTCCCGGGATCATTCGGGCACTCAAACCCCTCCACAACGATAAGGTGACGATTCAAGGAGGGGCGACGGTTCAAGGAGGGAGGAATACAATAAATTAATAAAACATGTTTTTTAATGAAACTACTGCACTTCACATCAGCTTTGTGAAGTTACGTACAGTTTTGTATGTTTTTTGTATATTTATGGAGAATTGTGGTGTCGGAGCATGGATGACGTGGGCTTGTGGGCGGAGCCTTGCACTTTGAATAGGGGCCTGGGAGAGATGGCTAAAATACTGAAGCATAAATCCAGATGAATATGAATAACAGACAGCAGTAATGTAGATACCATCTAGTGGTGATATGTAAGAATACAACAGGGGCGGCCAAACTCTTTTAACTTTAAATGTTGAATATGGCTTGCTGTAAGATGAATGGCAGAAGACTAGTGGACAGGGTTAGGAGGGTCTCACAGGCTCCTCTGTTGGTTTCAGGCATCAGAAGACGATGAGACAGTCTAAGTGTGGGCACAACCGTTTGATTCAGTCATTTATTAGAGCATGGATTTGTGTCTTGCTCCAGAACAGATGTATTGTATTTAGCTCTTGTGGTCAAAATAAGTGCTGTGGACTGTCTGCATCTGCATCTATAGAGTTTTATTGTCTGAGTATTGGGAAGTGTGCTTTAACATGCTAGTTGTTGCATGCTAGCATACTTTACTGTGAAAACAAAACACCGTTCTGGTTTCTGAAGCAGCACTTACAAACTCATCAGGATGAGTAAATAGGATGCTCTGAATGCGTACGATAAGTGAGGAATAACGTTGAACCACTGCAAACTGTTTACAAGACACAAATGTACAGATTTGTAGGTGTGCAAGAATAATAATAATATAATGCTACGACATAAGCTGGGGTGTACCGTTGTTTGGAGTATGAGAGGCAGAGGCAGACACACTGGACCAAACAAAGGAGCTGCAGCCCCTCCGCACAGTCTGGGATCTGACTGAAAATACTAAGTAATGTCTGTAATTTTCTGAATGAAATCCCTATTCTACACTGGGATTATGGTCATACAGGCTGGGTAGGCCTCAGAGTTTAGTGTTCTGTTCTGATTTTGCTTTCAAAGGTTTCAGGCTATGGCAGATGTCTCTGTGATAATAGCAATAAAGCAATTCAAATCCAAATTATCTCTTTTGAATGGGGAAAGGTCGTCTGTGGGTCAAATCAGGAAGGAAATGTTTGTCTGAAGCCCATGTGCACTTGGCTTACCCCCCTCTTTGTCTCCTTCAGGCCTATCTCACATGTGTTAGGCCTACATGAGCCACTGAGGACTGGAGGGATCGACAGAGGGCGCATCTCATTTCTCTTTCCCCACTTTCTTTTCCTTAATTCCTCTTCTTGATCATCCATTTTTCAGCTGTCAGTCAAATGCATCATATTAAGTGGTGTCCTCAGCTCAGAGGAGGCAGGAGAAGGAAAAAACAGAGGAAACCTGAGTGAGGATTCAAGAGGAAGATATCAGATAAAATAATTGCCTCTCAGTGAGGAGTTTGTTTTGTCACAAGTGCAGGGACATGTTATGTAATCCTGAATGTGACATTAAAACTCATTTAAAAATATCCTAAAACCATAGACTGCATATATAAATGGACAGAGCTAATGCGCTATCTGCTGTGTTCCAAACAGGAAGTTCTCATGTGACTCTTCTGGCTCCTTCTGACTCCTTCCCATTGGAATGTTGTGGCTCCTCTCTCTGTAACGGCTGCTGTGAGCCTTGTCATTTTGGTCTTAAAATATTCATATTAATCTGCTCTACATGATCCTGGTGTTTTTATTTCCACTATTTTGGCTGTAAAAAAAAAGCTTCTCTCTCTTCTCTGCTCCTCTCTCCTGTGCTCCTCTTTCTCTGCTTCTCTCTCCTCTGCTCCTCTCTTTTTTCTCTGTCTCCTCTGTGGGTGGGACTTCGTCACTCATTTCCTGCAGAATCTAGGAGAGGAATCAAAGAGAAGGAAGCGAGGAAAGCGAAATGAGATGCGGCCAGAGTGTAGCAGTAGCAGCAGCAGCAGAATGTGCTCCAGCTCAGCGCTTCCTCCATGTCGGCTACGCGCTGTAGGACAGGCCTGTGTAGGGTCATGTTTGGTTCCACAGGCAGGCTGAATGATCAAAGTACATTTTTTATTTTATTTTTTTTACGTTTTTTCAATGTAATTTCGTTATTTAATATGCCAACAACAATAAAACAGTTAAATTTATTCCTTAGTCATTAATCGCACATTAAAAGTGTTGGATGTCTTTTGGGCGGGCATTTAACAAAAACACGAGGGAAAAAGATCTTGTGTATTTAGGATTGTGTCAGGACGCCATCTAGAGGTGAGCAGACAGAGGCGGACTCAGCAGTGCGTGGACGTTTTAGATGAGATTTATTATTATTATTATTTATTTATTTATTTTTTTTAACATAGAAATGAGTTCATATGAGTTTCAGATAGACACATTAGGCCTATAGCATATATAAGGCAAGTGTGTGCTCACAACCGGACAGAGGCCTTCATACACATTTACTGAACTCTATTCACACAAAACTCAGAACTCTAAAAAAACACTTTGAGTCTACTTATGTCACAATTTTAACTCTAACTGCCAAAAATCATCGCTATGAGGTAGCGTGGCCGAGCGGTCTAAGGCGCTGGATTAAGGCTCCAGTCTCTTCGGGGGCGTGGGTTCGAATCCCACCGCTGCCAGAAATTTTTTCCTGACGTAACGATATTTTGACACTTTCATTTTAGAAGTCGCCTGTAGCTGGGCGTGATTCCTTTTTCAGGGTGTCTGGACAGCTCTGCCTGCGCTGTCCATTGTAAACCTCTCATGTTTACCTCCCGAGTTGAGCGGGCAGTACCGGGGAAGCTCCGTGCAGCTCCAGGCCTCAAGAAAGACGGGACTTCAGGGTTAAACTCGTTCATTGCTCATTGTGGGGCAAGGGAGCAGAGATGACATTTCCTTGGACAGTACACGCATTTATTTTATTTATTTATTATTAACAGTATTACAGACAATTTGGCCCGAAAGCTTGATGCGCCTTGCTAAAACATTTGAAAAACCACAGTAAAAGTCTTGCCCCTAAAGTCCCCCAAAACCCCTCAAAAAGAGGCAGGGCGTCCGCGCCCTCTATAGGACTGATGATGTAAATACAGCACAGTAAAGCTCGCTCCCGCAGCACCATGAACACATTTCCGGGATTGCGGCGCTGGAGGTGGCCACGTGAAGGCGACACACCGCGGCAGAGAAGAGCCGAACGACCCGGAGGAAGGAACCCTCACCACCTCCACCCACTACACACTCCCGGGCGGGCAGGCTGTTGGCGCCAACCCGGACCCCGGCTCCAGGCTCCAGGCCAACTCTCCTACGCTCCACGGTGACGCTCTGATCGGACCTGCCGCTAACAATCCCTCCTTTGATCCGCCATTGTGCCGTGTGTGGCTGCTGTGGAGCGGCTAGCCCCGTTAGCACGGTCTGTACCGCGGGAGTGTGTGCGCTTTCTCCGCGCCTCGTCCCGAGACCCGAGTGTGCGCAGCCAGGGACAAAAGAGAAGCACACCGCCGCAGAATGGGGGTGAGTACCGGAGTGTGTGCTGGATGTGAGGGCTCAGGCCGGGAGGCGGATGATGCGTGGATGCCTGGTGGTACGGGAGGGACAGGCGGGGACGACGGAGGGACTAGCCCGCGGTGGATGGATGGAGCTAGGCAAGGGGAAGGCGTCTGGCACCGGTGCTGTGGATCTCACCGCATTTTCAGCTCTTAAGCACTGTCTCGCGGATTGAGGCATTCTCCCACGCCAAACCTCGTGTGTATTGTCCACAGTGTTCGTGCGCTGTTCCTGATAAATGTGGAGCTGAGTGTTGGATCACCCAGGCACATCAGCACACTTCCAAAATGAACAGCTGTGACCAGTGTGTTTCGAGATTTCCCTGAGTTTGTGATAGATCTAGTGTACAGTTCTTCGGCCCTTCATCCAAACGCAAGACAATGACAGTGTGATGATCAGAATGGTCGTGTTTGGTTCGTGACGTGTTAGCGTGCTAGCCCTGTTAGCTGTGCCACTTAGGAATGCCTTGTTCCTCATGGCGGGCGCCTGTGATGGATGCGAACCTCATCAAGTACTGAAAGTGGGTCAAGCTATGTGGTACGAACTACTAACTGGGTCTAAAATTAGCCTTTGCATCTTACATTTTGGGGTCTTAAGAACATCAGTGCGTTATGTTTGTTTTCCCAACACAAACAGAATGTCCTTTTTGAGAGTGCACTGTATAACTTTTTGGTGTAGCCACTGTTTTGTTTTCATGGAAGTATTATATGGGTTGTAAAAAGTATCTAAACAATCAAATACTAACTGATACCGAAAGTGGCATCAAAACTAGATACTCATTTAAGCAGGTATTGATACTATAAAAGTCCTATTCACAGGACAGTGATCCTTTCCTGAAGCTTTACAATGATGTTGTTCTGTAGCAGAACAAGTATAAGAGCACATAGACTACTATGGAACCTACCTGCATGAAAGTTCTATTATGTAATGTTGAAAATCACATTCTATTCTCTAAAGAGTTTTTGTTTTTTTTAACTGTCATTGTGGTATCAGAATCAGTATTGAATCTACTCATTAAGCTTGAAGTGAGCTTGGTTTAGATTAGATTGTTCCATAGACAAACTTTATTGATCTACAAGGGAAATGATGTTTCTTCTATGTGCAATATGCTTCCACACATTATGCATAACAGTAGGCTACATATTCTCCTTCTCCATGGTTCCCAGCAGGTGATGTCACCAAGCCAAGTTACAGGTCAGATCTGTTGAGAGGAGGTCATGGTAAGAATGTTAGTGTATCAAAGTATTTTTGAGCAATTAAGCCACAGGTGACTAAAGAAATACATGTTCACTAGAATTATTTGGATAATTTCAGCCCTGGAATTCCAACATCTATTAAAATAAAGGTAAAAGGCAGTTAACATGAAAACTACCGCTTCAAGACATCAGGAGGTGAGACCGAGCATTTTGAGCTTTGGAAATGTAGACAGACTAATAATGCAGGATTACTCAAGCATGTGTGAATGAAAGAAAACACAACTCCAGGTCTGTTTTTGAAGTAACAAAATCCTATGGTTTCTGAACTATGCAAACTGTGGATCAGCACTAGCTCATCGTTCTGTGGTCTCTTTGTGGTCACTCTGCAGTCACTCTGTGGTCACTGTGGTCAGGCCTGTCACAATAACACAACAATAAGTAAATATAGATGCTAAACATAATATTGATAGCAGAATGCTAGTATTTTGACTATTGTAAATATAAATGATAGTTTTACAACAATCAAGAAGCTATTTGCAAAGACAAGTTGAAAAACATGTTGCAAATTTCTCGAAATAGAGTGGTCACACTGTGGTCAGCAGAGAAGTGTTTGAGTTTAAGCCGTTCTCAGACCCAGTGCCAGGCCTGACTTTGACTGTGCTAAACCCCCACGTGCCTCTGCCTCCTGCTGCCCTGGATCACGCTCAGCTCCCTCCTTTTTTAAGTAGTGTAAGACTGGTCAATATGGGGCTGAAAATGGAATCGTGATCTCGTTCCTGTGACAAAATGCTAAAATGGTCTTGTGATGAACTAATGACCATCTGTGAAACAAAGACACTTTGTCCAGCCCCCCCCTCTCTCCTCCCATTAGTCAGCCTTGAGTGACAGGTGGATTTAACTGATTAAGTGAAGCAGATGACTTAAGGTAATATAAAGATGCTACGTTTACAGGAACCGTGATCTGGCATTCTGCATCCTTTGGGTTTTTGTTTGTATTGTGGCTGTGCAGTGGAGTTTTACTGATCGTTAAATACATGATAGATGGAACAATAATTTTTGGGGGTCAGTATTTATGGTGGGTACTTTTTCAACTTCAGATATTTCTGTACTATAAGAAGACTTGAGCTGCAGAAGATTGAATTATGAACTTCTATATCTCATTATAGATGCAAACTAACTGCTCCAGTGTTGAATTCTGTTATTGCAGCAAATTTGTATTTATTGATTTACTGATTTATTTTTAGGCCCGAGCGCCAGAGGCTGGCGAAGGGCCTATTAGTATCGCAAAGCGATGCTCCAAGTGGCCGAAAAATGGAATGGCGCGATGTGACTTCAACAATAAATCACACTTTAAATGTGTTATCGTGACAGACCTTGCAGTGCATCATATTTCAGTGGGTAGTGGCGTTTTAAATTGATACTGGTCTGCTTGGGTCACCTTAATGTTCCACCTGGGTTCTTGTATAAAAGTGCTGTAGTGTAGGGTAGTGCGGGTGTAGTGTACATGTAGGCTGTAGCGGCTGTGAAGATGTAGGGTGTAGCAGGTGTAACGGCTGTGGGGCTGTAGGCTGTAGCGGCTGTGGGGTGTAGCGGCTGTGGAGCTGTAGGATGGTGGGGCTGTAGGGTGTAGCGGCTGTGGAGCTGTAGGATGGTGGGGCTGTAGGGTGTAGCGGTTGTGGAGCTTGGCTGTGGGGCTGTAGGGTGTAGCGGCTGTGGGGCTGTGGGGTGTAGCGGCTGTGGAGCTGTAGGATGGTGGGGCTGTGGGGTGTTGCGGCTGTGGGGCTGTAGGATGGTGGGGCTGTGGGGTGTAGCGGCTGTGGGGCTGTAGGGTGTAGCGGCTGTGGAGCTGTAGGGTGTATCGGCTGTCGGCTGTGGGGCTGTATCGGCTGTGGGGCTGTATCGGCTGTGGGGCTGTAGGGTGTAGCGGCTGTGGGGCTGTGGGGCTGTAGGGTGTAGCGGCTGTGGGGTGTAGCGGCTGTGGAGCTGTAGGATGGTGCGGCTGTGGAGCTGTGGGGCTGTAGGGTGTAGCGGCTGTGGGGCTGTGGGGCTGTAGGGTGTAGCGGCTGTGGGGCTGTGGGGCTGTAGGGCTGAAGGGTGTAGCGGCTGTAGTAGTGGGTGTATATGGAAGGCCTGTGTTGGCTGCTTTGCTCTGATGCAGTGTCCTTGCTGTGGTACATTCATCAGTGTGACCCAGGAGCAGGCTGCAGACACTTTTAGAGCTGCTCTCTGTTCCTCACGGCTTGAGTGGAGCTTTAGGAGCTCCAGGCCTCTCTACACGGGTTACATCAGTTCTGGACTGGTTTTGCTGAAGTTGGGGGGTGGGTATCTGAGTGATTTTTGAAGAATATTGTAATTTTTTTGGATAATCTCAACGACTATTTTAAGTCTGTATTGTATTTATGGAAGTCCCTCGGAAATGTGCTAGAATGTGTCTGTCAATAATACGAGGTATGGGCGATATATCGGTTCCAGTATAGGTATAGGCCATAGACTGTATAAACGGACATACTCACTAGCCTGCCGCTGTGCATCAGATTCGTCTTTTTGAACAGACTCAGGAGAAGAACCTTAAGGATGTTTACACCAACATGTAACATATGGCAAATAAACACATTTTGTCATTATTTTTACAAGAGTGAAGTTAATTTGTGTGTTACTTCAACTCGAGGTAAAAGCTACACGTCGTAGCAGGCCAAATATTGGTTATTGGTAAAATCTATATCTTCCCATCCCTACCTAAATGTCATTGTGTAATCAGTTCTAAAGTACTGACTATGCTCTCCTAACTCTTTTGCTTTTGTAGAGAAAGTCCAACAAGGCCAAGGAGAAGAAGGCGCGGCGTCTGGAGGAGAGGGCCGCCATGGACGCCGTATGCGCCAAAGTGGATGCAGCCAATAAGGTATGTCGCAGAGGGTCATGTGACCCCTGCAGCCTGTTATTGAGAAGGACACACATGCTAGGAAGGCCTCTTCACATTCTAGAAGAGGGGATCTGCTTATGTCTGTCAGGAAATCTCCGAGCTTATGATTCAGAAATGTTGCACCTTATTATTTTGTAGGGACTGGCTTCACAAACTTGTCATATTAAAAAGAGGCTATGATGCAGAATATATATATTTTTAGCTTTCTATCATGTGGTAAGGTTCCCTCATCAGAAACATGGGTGAAGAGCTTTAGATGTATGAATATGAATATTTTAGCGAGCTCTCTCAAAGCCTCTATGTGCTCTCACCCGTGCTCTCACCCGTGCTCTCACCCGTGCTCTCACCCGTGCTCTCACCCGTGCTCTCACCCGTGCTCTCACCCGTGCTCTCACCCGTGCTCTCACCCGTGCTCTCACTTGACTATTCTCCATAAAAGAGAAAATCATAATATAAAACAATTAACGTCTGATGTGATGTGCTGCTGTTTCATTAACGGGATGTACAGTGATTTTGTTGGGATAGTGCTCTGAAAGGGGAGTGACTTAACACGGGGAGCAAAGGGAGGGGAGATTCAAAGAAACATTAAATAAAACATCTTGTATGTTGTTTTAGGCAAATATAGCATTTTCAAAACAATAAAAAGGTAAGATGGTTATGTAAATGTGTTTTTTTTTTTTACAGTTAATATTCCACAGAAGTCAAATAGCCCCCTTTAACCTTACAGCTTAAGGTAGTTTCAACTGACAACAATAACATCTTTGGGGTTGAATAACCACTTTCTGAAGTTATTATGAAAAACTGTTTCTTACTGAAGCTAACAGAGAAGACAGCAAACGTTGTGTCATTTTTAGACTGTGAATAGGTTCAGTAATTACAGAGATATGAACCATAAACCAGATCAACAACTCTGCAATCTGGCACAGCAAACCATACAATACTATTCTAACTAGTCCTCCAGCTTAATTTCACGTGAACCCAACCTATTCCCGAGACCTGTCTTTCTAATAATAATAATAATAATAATAAATACCTGATAAGTGAGTGGATGTCTATAATTAGTGTTGTGTGCACGGCCAAAGGAACACTGCCTGTACTGCTCTTTCTTTCATTATACTCTGTAGTGTGGCATGATTCAGTAACTGTGCAGTTCCTTGCAAACCTGCATAGACTCTTTAACCAAAGTGCCCAAACTCCTCCTCTCCTCCCTTCCCCTCTTGTCTCCTCTCTTCCCTTCCCCTCTTGTCTCCTCCCTTCCCTTCCCCTCTTGTCTCCTCCCTTCCTTTCCCCTCTTGTCTCCTCCCTTCCCTTCCCCTCTCGTCTCCTCCCTCCCCTCTCGTCTCCTCTCTCCCCCTCCCGTCTCCTCCCGCCACCTCCCGTCTCCCCTCTCCCCCTCCCGTCTCCTCCCTGCCCCTCCCGTCTCCTCTCTCCCCCTCCCGTCTCCTCCCTCCCCCCTCCCGCCACCACACTTTGAAACCAGCTTTCATTAACTTTTTCATTTTCTTCAGTTTGTCTTTGTGCATCTCTTCATGTGAACCGTCTTGAAAAGTGCTTTACAACTGTTGTGTTGTTATTAGATGTTTTAATGGTTCTATTCCAAGTACATTGCAGTGTTGTGTTTGAGCTAGAGGGGGGCAGTATGGTTTATCAGGATAGTTTTTGCTTGAGACCAATGTGTATATAAAAGTGTTGTATTAAATGCAATCTTCTGTATGTGTATACTGTATATTGTTGTAGCTGGTTGTGCTCCTGCTTTCAGCTGGAGGACCCCCTGGCTGCCTTCCCTGCCTTCAAGAAGTACGACAGAAACGGGTATGTCCTCTCATACTTGTAGGCCACATCCAGCCTCTGTGCCTCCTCTGACCCCTCTGCTCTCTCTAACCTCCTGCTTCCTCTGCTCCTCCCTCTGTGCCCCCTCTGCTCCCTCCACCACAGGCTGAACCTGCAGATCGAGTGTCGGAGAGTGACCGCTCTGAACCCTCTGTCCGTGGAGTGGGCGTTCGAGCTGACCCGGGCCAACATGCAGACCCTGTAAGAGTTTATACTTTATCCACCTGGAGAACAGTGATATCAAACCAAACTTCATTTATAAAGCACTTCCCATACAGGGCAGGTAACCCAAAGGGCAAAAAAGCGATATCTCAATACAAATTTGTAATAAAACTGGTATTGATACTAGGGCTGGGTATCATTAAGAAGTTGCCAATACTATACATACCTCAATACATAGGCCACGATACACTTCATATAACTTGATACAGTGCACTGACTGAATAAACTACTACTGCTACTACATTTGATTCCATATGAAATATTTCAAATTGATTTGATACGGTTCAATAAAAAATAATGGCTAAATCAAGGCTGTGATACTAAAGTCTTTGTTAAACCACTTCTTATGCAAAGTGAATAAGAAACACACCCATTTAAGCATCAAAACAATGAAAATGTCAAATTTGTTGCTTGTTTAGAGGAAGCAAACTCGTTTATGCAACAAAACCGTAGGGTGTAACAAAATAATTTGGTAAAATATATCAAAAAATCACATTAAACAATAACAATATATTGATTTGACTAAATTTTCAGTCCCTACCCCACCCGCACCCACACTGTGCAGTCCTGCTCCCGCAAAGAATTGTAATTTTCAGTCCCGCTCCCGCTCACAAATCCCGCAAGATGGGACTGTTCGCTTTGTCAAGCTCTATCAAACATGGAGAAGCGTAAATTGTCTAAAATGTGAGCGACAATAGACCACATCCGCAAGTTTAGGCTGCTTAAAGTGTTTCTATTAAGGTCAAATAAAATATCCAGCACAAATGATGTATGATAGACAAACATGAATCATTTGTATATTTGACTTTACACTCATATTTAGTTTACGGCAGTTCACTGCAGTTTATCATCCCACCTGCCTGCTCCCGCATTGTACAGTCCCGGTACTGCCCGCGCCCGCAATGAGCTTTCAAAATGTGTCCCACTCTGCACTGTTTTGCGTTTGGTCCAGGGGGAGTGCAGGGCTCTATTGCACACCCCTAATCGATACTAGATTGTCATTTGGACAAGTGTTCATTCTGGAGGCTGTAAGTGAAGCAGCACAGATGCCACGTGCTAAGAGACCATGGCCTTTCAGACAGTGCAGCAGAAAGAGGACATGGCCCAGACACATACTCACACATTTCTACAGCAGAGAGCGAGCTCTAGAACAACACTGAGTAAAGTGAGGCTAAAGTTTATGTAGTACAGGCAAACCACGCAGTCAAAACAGACAACAAACGTGAAGTCTTTCCCTAAACTACACATATGCACACACACACACAGAGCAGAGGCTGAATGAATCAAGACCAGAAGTGCATTTTCTCCCAACTGTGTGTGCAGTGTAATGAGGAGATAAAAACTACTGTATTTCACCATTCTTTGCTATGTTCAAAGTTCAAATTGTACATTTAGTAAGGTAAGATGAGTGTGTATGCGACAGTATCAAAAACGGAGCTTTCATGAATAAAAGCCACGTTCTATTACTGTTTGACTATTGTTCTGTTTCGCTGTGGGTGTCAGGTACGAGCAGAGTGAGTGGGGCTGGAAGGAGCGGGAGAAGCGCGAGGAGATGAATGACGAGAGGGCGTGGTACCTGCTGGCCCGTGACGCCGCAGACTCCGCCCCCGTGGCCTTCTCACACTTCCGCTTCGACGTGGAGTGTGGAGATGAGGTGCTTTACTGGTGAGGCGGGCTCTGAGTGCAAGAGTTGGGGTCAGGTGTGCCACTGTGAGGGCAGTGCTAACCTCTACTCTGATGTCCACAGTTATGAGGTGCAGCTGGAAAGCAGAGTGCGGAGGAAAGGACTGGGCAAGTTTCTCATCCAGATCCTACAGCTCATCGCCAACAGGTAACACGTCACACTACAAAGTCAATCATGGATATCAGACAGTGCAGTGGTCTGTTGTATTAGAGTTGATCATTAGAATGCTTTAAAGGCCCGTTCACACCAAGGCGTCAAAGCGTCCAGTTTCAATGTAAAGTCTATGTGGACGCGCGACTAGAGCGTCCTGCGTTTTTGCGGCGCGTTTTCGGCGTCAGCGCGGCGCGTCTTGAGCGTTTTGGCGTCAGCGGCCAAGACGCGCGTCCAAGGCGTCAGCATCAAGAAGTTGAAAATGCTGAACTTTTTGCGTCAGACGCGCCGCGTCAACCAATCAGGGACGAGTATCCAGTGACGCAGCGACGTTATTATCAGGAAGCAAGACCCGAGAAACAGAGCGAGAACCACAAACAGGACCGGACCAGGACCAAACCAGGACTAGACCAGGACTAGACCGGGACTAAACAAGGACTAGACCGAGACTAAACAAGGACTAGACCGGGACTAAACCGTGATTAGACCAGGACTAGACCGGGACTAGACCGTGATTAGACCAGGACCAGACCGGTATTAGACCAGGACTAGACCGGGACTGAGCCAGTGTCATTAACGGAGTATAAATATATATACGCCCCAGTCGTCGACCCGATCTCCTCCGTTGATGTTTTATGTCATAAAAACACTCTCTCAGTCTGGTCTGACATTGTTTCGGGAAAAGAGCGGGACCGGGCTCTTGTTTCCAGGGCAACGGACGCGCGTCAAGTATTTTTGTCCCGTTCGTCCACGGCGTCAAAGATGCGCGTCGGGGCCGTCTAAACTCAAATGCAAAGGCGTCCAAATAGCTCAAGGCGTTTTTTGACGCTTTGATGTGAACGGCCCTTAAGGCCCGTTCAGACCAAAGCGTCAAAGCGTCCACTTTCTATGTAAAGTCTATGTGGACGCGCGACTAGAGCGTCCTGCGTTTTTGCAGTGCGTTTTCGGCGTCAGCGCGGCGCGAATCTGGCGTTGACGCGGCGCGTCTTGAGCGTTTTGGCGTCAGCGGCCAAGACGCGCGTCCAAAGCGTCAGCGTCAAGAAGTTGAAAATGCTGAACTTTTCGCGTCAGACGCGCCGCGTCAACCAATCAGGGACGAGTATCCAGTGACGCAGCGACGTTATTATCAGGAAGCAAGAAGAACCAGAACGAGAACCACCAACATGAGCGGAGCATAAATATATACGCCACAATCACCGAGCCGATCGCGAGGACTACACCAGGACCGGACCGGGACTAAACAAGGACTAGACCGGGACTAGACCGTGATTAGACCAGGACTAGACCGGTATTAGACCAGGACTAGACCGGGACTGATTCAGTGTCATTAGCGGAGTATAAATATATATACGCCCCAGTCGTCGACCCGATCTCCTCCGCTGATGTTTTATGTCATAAAAACACTCTCTCGGTCTGGTCTGATATTGTTTCGGGAAAAGACCGGGACCGGGCTCTTGTTTCCAGGGCAACGGACGCGCGTCAAGTATTTTTGTCCCGTTTGTTCACGGCGTCAAAGACGCGCGTCGGGGGCGTCTAAACTCAAATGCAAACGCGTCCAAATAGAGGCGTCAAAGCGTTTTTTGATGCTTTGGTGTGAACGGCCCTTTAGTCTTGTTTTAAGATGAGAGAATATTTCTTTGTCCAACAATGGAGACATTTCAGTGTTGCAACAATAAACAAACTGTTTAATTAGGATAGCAAAACAAAGGTGGCACATGTTGGCGACAGCTGTTTGGACACAGCGCTCACATGAAAGTGCCTGGTCTTGTTTTTTAAGCACACAGATGAAGAAGGTGATGCTGACGGTTTTCAAACATAACCTGGGAGCGTACCAGTTCTTCAGAGAAGCTCTCCAGTGAGTACAGTCTGTTTTCCCCTGTCCCCCTGTCCCCCTATCCCCCGGTCCACTGGTCCACTGGTCCTCTGGTCCTCTGGTCCTCCGGTGCAGTTGAGTCTGAAGTGTCCTGTGTGCAGGTTTGAGATCGATGAGACGTCTCCCAGCATGTCTGGCTGCTGTGGGGATGACTGCTCCTATGAGATCCTGAGCCGGAGAACCAAACACGGGGAGGCGTCGGCCGGCCACACCCACGGTGGCGGGCACTGTGGCGGCTGCTGTCACTGAGGCTCTTCTGATTTGCTCGTCTTATGTCCTCTATGAGTGTGAGGAGTGAGCGTGGACATAGACAGCACTCTGGAGCAGCAGCCTTTGTTTCATGACTTGGTTTAGTCTTTTCTTTTGTCCCAGTTAGGTCTTTAGCTAGTGCTGCTCCTTTCCACCCTCTTCACCCAGACACTTTCAGAGAACACTGGTACAGCTGGGACTGCAGGGCCTGTCCCCACATGGACATGGACATCTGTCCTCATCACTCACTTTACACAAGAAGCTCCATGGATGTGGCTCTGACAGTATTTGTACAAATACATTTTGGGAGATGGTAATAATGGTGTTAAACCTAGCATTATGTCTTAAGTTTGATTTTCAATGGATACAATCAAATGTTGAATCTAAAAGTCAGTACTGGACCAGTGTCCATGTGCCCTGTCTGACCCTGAGCTCCTCACACTGAGGCACACACATGTACAGTCTGTATTTATTGAAAAAATGGCCGCTATCTGTTTGCTTCCGTTTGCAGCCTTCATTTGAAACCTGCTCATTCCTTTGTAAACATTCACTCTCATCATTCCACTCCCCTGGGAATGCCCGCTCTGCCCTCCTCTCTCTCCTCTCCCTCCTCTCCTTCCTCTCCTCTCCCTCCTCTCCCATTGACACATTTCTGGCTCCTTTATTTGGATTGTAAGAGAGGTGTCACAGCCCATGCTGTTGTCCCCAGCTCGTGTGCATGTCCTAAGAGTAAAATCATGACAGACTTTTGATTAGACACAGTGAAAACAGGACTCACGCAGGAGGTGAGGCGGCCGCCCTCCACTGCCCCCTCATGGCGCTCTCAGGATAACGCTCCACTCTCAAACCTCAGCTGTTTTTATTTGAGTTTAAAAGCCTTACACAGTCAATTAGTTGTACATGGAAATTGCCCAATGCCTTTTTAACATGCCTCTGAGCTAAGACAGCTTTTATTTGAGCTCTTTTTAAATGACCAAACAGCTCCTGCGTTGTGTGTATAGTTATTTCGTTGTTGGCCTTGTTGAATCTGAGCTCTTTGTTTTGGAGTCATAAATCCACAAAAGGGATGTTCTGCCTTGTCAGTGTTTGATTTGTTCAAATAAAGGAAAGTTATTTGACTTTTCAAACTGTTTGTAACAACATTTATTTTTATGAACAGTGTTTAGCATCTTTGTAAATATGGGTGTTCACTGCTAAAATGTGTCTATTTTGAAGAATTGTATGCTTCTTCAACACACTCCATTTAGCACTTACAGCCAGCTTTTATAAAAAACCTTCCAAAGCCTACATCTATATAAACTGGATTGTTTTAAATAAAGCATGAGTGAGTGAGTAGAGTAGCCAAAATTGTACTCAAGTAGAAGTACAAAGTAGTGGTCCAAGAAATTACTCAGTATTTCAGAAAACTTGTACTCAAGTAAGAGTAACTTAATGAGTAACTGTTAGGGCATAACACTTGATTTTGTCATTTGAAGAATTAAATATTAAATGTGTAAAATCTGGTATTTTTAAAGGACAGAGACAAAATGAGACAAACCAAATTATATCAAACATTTCATATTGTCACATAAAGCTTTTGTCACTTAGACTTCCAGTGGGAAGAGGAAACCACAACTTTTACTCAAGAAAGAGTACTGTTACTTCAATAAAGTATGCTGTTAGAAAAGTACTCAGAAAAATACTTTTTTTTTTAAGAGGTACTCAAGTAAATGTACTACCCACCTCAGTCAGTTTTTTAATAAAACCTACATCTATTAAGTCCATAGCTTTATTTGAAGCATTTATTCATTCATGGCAGATGTTTTTCTGTTTTTCTAGGGTGATCAGATTTTCAGAATAAACTGGGACATCCCTGGTTTGGGGTAGTTGGTAATAAAATTGGTCATTTTAAACCAGCTTTTCTGGATTTTACCTGAACAATTGACCATGTATGTCTCTCTTTACTATTGGCAGGGATCAAAAAGGTAAAAAATAGGGACACCGGGGACATTTCTTGTACAAAACTGGGACAAATCAGTGGTTTTGCATAAATCTGCTGGGACAGGGACACGGGCCTCAAAACTGTGACTGTCCCGGGGAAATGGGGATGTTTGGTCACAATATCTGTGTCTGGCTCTAGAGAGAAAAGGTACAATAAAATATAAATACTGAGCTATCGGGGACTTCCGGCAAGATGGCGGACTGAGCGGGGGACCTTTCAAAGCTCTGAACAAAGTTCCTCAAAATAGCTATATAAAGAACGGACTTTCTCAACACAAAAGATTGACGCTTAAAATACTTTTAAAAAAAGAGACGTATTTGGACTGAAAAAGTTAAAGAACTATGTCAAAAACCGAAGCGGACAAATGTAACGGATCCGAAAAAGCTAGCGGCGGTCTTGCCCATCACGACTCCGCTGCCATGGAAACCACTTGCGTCGGACCAGAAAAGCGGCAACTTGAATCTCCACCACTCAAAGGTGCTCCGGGCAAAAGGGCAAAACCCAATGAAAACTCATCATTTGAAGCCATAATGTCGGCAATAACTCAGTTGACTGTTCGTTTTGAGAAGCAAGAAGAAGCTTTGAGAGAGAACAGCATCATCGTCAGTAGTCTGGCTAAGTCACTCGAGTTTCACGCCGCTGAGCTAAAAGACTGTAAAGGCCAAGTGTCCGCGCTAGAAAAAAAAGTGGAGATATTGGCAAAGGAAAATCTGGTTTTGCGTCAAACAACAACAGAACAAGAAAGTTACAGCAGGCGCTGGAACTTAAGAATAAAGGGAATGAAAGAAAAGCCGAATGAGAATATACGAGAGGAGGTGGTCAACCTTCTACAGAAAGTGGCACCGGACTGGGCGCGGATCATGGAAGAGGCTGTGGACACTGTTCACCGCATCGGGAGGAAGGAGGAAAAGAGGACGCGCCCGGTAATCATCCAATTCGTGAAGCGACAGCACCGAGATGGCATCTGGAAACTGCCCACGGAATCTACTATCTGTAAAGAGGCCGGGGTTCACTTTACGGAAGATTTAACGGTAGCGGCCAGACAGGCAAGAGAAGTGCTGTGGCCGAAGATTCAAGAAGCGAGAAAAGCTGGCAAGAAGGCGTACTTTCGAGGGCCATTCGGGTTCATAGACGGTCAGAAGATCTAAATGAACATGCAAATGAACACAGGGCATAACATCATTAAAGGGAAAGTTGGTTAAAACTTAGAGGAACAGTTCAAATGTTTAAACGGTTCAACCACACACACACTCATTTACTGTTTATAAAAACTGTTCTTTACCTGGTTGAGGTAAATATCTTGTTTTATTTATGCTTCATTTAAAATCTGAATTTTCGTTTATTTCACTAAATGCAAAAGGTCTTAAAGACAATGTAAAACGTAAAGCTATTTTTCTGTATTGCAAAGGACTTAAAGCACATTGTTTTTTTTTGTTTTTTTTGTTTTTTTTACAAGAGACACACTCCTGTGAAGAGGATGAATCGTTTTGGAGAAACCAGTGGGGAGAGAAGATTTACTTTTCACATGGCACCAGTCGGTCTGGAGGTGTGGCCATTTGCTTACAATGATTCCCAGGAGATGTGGTAACCTCTAAATGTGACAAAAATGGACATTGGCTTATACTCCTTGTTAATTTGGAAGGGTCACTGGCAATTTTATTAAACATTTATGGCTACAATAATTTACAACAAAACAAACAGTTGTTGAATGATATTGCAGACATAATTCATAATTTCAAACGAACCTACAATATAGATTTCACTTTATTAGGTGGGGATTTTAATATTGCACCAGATGAATGGCTTGACAGATCCCCTTCATTCTATAATGACCACCATTATAATGCTGTGTTTAAAGACAGTCAATCTCTTATAGATGTATGGAGAGAAAAAAACCCACATGCTTGTCAATTTACATGGATAAATGGTTATTATCACCTGAAATATTAAATTTCATTAAGACAGCAGAAATAGCTGCAGCTCCTTCAACAGACCACTGTCTAATTAAATTAGTTCTAAAACCTAATTTCAAATCCAGCCACAACAAAAGCTATTGGAAATTTAATTCAGATTTGTTGCTAATCGAAGAATTTGTTAATGAAGTAAAAGTCACATTACAAGAAATTAAGCATGATGATGAACTAGACACTAGCTGTAAAAAAATGGTAATACTTTAAATACAAAGTCAGAAACATCTCTATCAAATTTAGCAAAATCAGAAGTCAAAGTATAAGGGAAAAAGAATATACTTTAGTACATGAGATTAATATGTTATGTAAAAAACATGAACTAACAGAAGAAGAAAAGGCAACTTTTTCAAATTTACAATCCAGTCTCGATGAACTGTTCATCAAAAGGGCACAGGGTGCTTATGTAAGATCCAGAGCAAAATGGATAGAACAAGGTGAAAAAAATACATCCTATTTTTTTCAGTTAGAAAAAACTAGACAGGAAAAAAATTAAGTGAATGTATTAATGATCAATGACATAGAATGTCATCAAGCTAAAGTCATATCTGAAGAAATTTACAAATTCTACTCAAACCTGTACTCATCAACTTACTCACCTGAACTATCTACAGATTTTCTAAACAGTATAAAACAGCACATACCCCAAATTGAAAGGGATTTTAAAATATTATGATGCGGAGATACAACTAAAAGAACTTGATGCAGCTGTTAAACAAATGACTCTAGGAAAGGCCCCAGGCCAAGATGGCTTAACATCCAATTTTTACAAATTTTTCTGGAATGACATAAAACAATTATTGTTTGAAGCATTTAAAGAATGTATAAAGAATAATAACCTAACAACAATGAAACAAGGTGTCATTACACTATTGCCAAAACCTGGAAAAGATAAAAGATATATAGACAACCTTAGACCCATTTCATTATTGAATGTAGACTATAAAATTTTTACTCATATTATGGCAAATAGATTAAAAATTGGAATTGAAGACATTGTCAGTTAAACCCAATCGGGATTTCTAAAAAATAGATCAATTCACAATAATATTCGATTAGTATTGGATTTATTACATTATAATCACCTAATTGAAGACCCAGGGTTAATATTATTTCTTGATTTTTATAAAGCTTTTGATCTTGTAGAACATCCCTTCATATTGAAGTCACAAAAATATTTTGGATTTGGCTCTAAATTTATTAACTTAGTGAGGATGATGTACACTGACATAAGCAGTTCTGTATCCCTTCCTGAGGGCACAACTAAAAGATTTTGGATAAAAAGAGGAGTTAAGCAGGGCTGCCCTTGCTCTCCATATCTTTTCATTCTGATCTCAGAATTATTATCAATATATATAAAACAGCACTGATTTTGAACCTTTAAAAGTATTTGGTAAACCTTTGTATATTACTCAATTAGCTGATGACACTACCATTTTTCTAAAAAATGCAGAACAGATTCCTACAGCAATCAGCAAAGTAGAAATATTCTCTAAAGCATCAGGTTTACGTCTAAACTTTAAAAAACGTGAACTTATGGCCTTGCATGAGCATCCTAATATCAATTTATATGGAATACCTGTGAAAAGTGAAGTTAAATACTTAGGGATAGTATTATCTAAAGACTGGAAAAGAAGAGAACAATTAAACATTGATAACAATATAGTAAAAACTCAGTCTATATTAAATTCCTGGTTACAAAGAGATTTATCGATTTTTGGCAGAATTTTAATCACTAAAAGCGAAGCATTGTCAAGATTAATTTACCCTGCCTTCTCCCTAGCCATACCTAATCATTTAACAACATCCATTAATAAAAGCATTTTCAACTTTATATGGAAAAATAAACATCATTATATAAGAAACTAGAAAAGCAGTCAGAGCGCAGACCTCCGCCAAGGACTACCCCCATTTTTTATATAAATTGCAATAAAATCAGTCTTCTGGATCAGATCCGGATCAGCCTTTGGAATATGAAAGAGGATCCCATTGTCCATCCCTGAATCAAATTTCATGGGGTTTGGTCAATAATTAACCGAGATATTGAGAAACAAAATTTTTGGCCCCATTTACCACAATGTTAACTAAAACTTCAAGATGATCCAGAATCCAGGATTTCTTCCGGATCACCCCCAAAATGAAATCAGTTCTTCCTTTTCACATTTCCAACAAATCCTGAAAAGTTCATCAAAATCATTCCATAACTTTTTGAGTTATGTTGCTAACAGACAAACACAGACAAACAAAAACATAACCTCCTTGGTGGAGGTAAAAATGATGCAGTAAAGCCAATAGCAGACGGTGGTCTAAATGTAGTTGATTTTGAAGCTGTAAATGGAATGCTAAAATTAAAATGGTTGCAAAACTTTATAAATAATATAGACAAGTTCTGGTTTCATATCCCTGCAAAAATTTTCCTAGACTGTGGTGGCATTGAGTATCTGCTCGCCTGTGACTTCTCTACCTCTAAATTACCACTTAAATTATCAACATTCCACCAACAGGTCCTTTTAAATTGGAAAATGGCATACACACACAATTTTACTCCACATAATGTACCTATCTGGAACAACAGATGTATTCTTTCCAAAAGAAAATCTATTTATTATGAGGACTGGGTAAGAAAGGGGATTTGGTCCATTTCACATTTAACAGATTCTAATGGGAACCTTATGGACTATGATAATCTTATGAAGAAATATGATTTACAATGCTCAAAACGGCAATATAATACAGTCATCAAAGCTCTCCCATTAGGATTATTAAATCTAGTTAGTGGCATGTTGAGATATGATAAAATTACACCAAAATTCCCTTTACTCACCATAGATGAATTTGAATTTAAAGACAAAAACTGCTCAAATAAAGTAATAAGGAACATTATTACTAACAAATTGTGTCCTCTCCCATTAAAAATAATTCATGTACTTAAAGACTTTCCAGTTAATATCATTAAAAAAAGTAGAACAAATTACCTCTCATTTCCAATCTCCCCTAAAGCCAAAGAAACTCACTTTAAAATTTTAAATGATATTTACCCCTGTAATGAATTCTTGAAAAAACGTTTTAATGTGGAGTCCAGAACCTGCACATTTTGTAACAATGAAATAGAAACTGTTGAACATTTGTTCTTTTATTGTAACCATATTAGAACGTTTTGGAACTCATTCCAACTGTGGATGGTGGAATATGACACAGATTTACCAAATGTAACTTATAAAGATATAAAATATGGTGTAACTGTAACTAATAAGTTTATTACTAGCCAAACAATTTATTCATAAATGCAAATTCTCAAATATAAAACCCTTGTTCAAGGTATATCATCATGAATTTTTGCATTTTAAGAGATCCTTACGTCACATTAAATCTAAACAAGCCGTTATAATAAATGATTTTATGCAGTCAGATGCATAAGACCTCTTGCATTGTATTTTGTTGTATTAACATTGCATTGTGTGTATTTGTTTTATAGTTTTATTTTATTATTATTGTAAAAAAAAAATGTAATGCACATGCTCAGTTATACATTTGTATTGTTGACATAAGATATTTTGTATTGCCAGCACTGATTAATAAATTAAAAAATAAAATAAAATAAATACTGAGCTATCGGAACTCCTGTGTAAACGCGCTCTGGCGGACCCATTCTGCGGCGCACACACGGCGGAAATGGCCGGTGCTGCCTGAAAATCTTCTCGGGTGTGTGATGATGGCTCCGCTCTGACTGCTCCAGGGGTGAGCGGGTGAGTGGATGCGGTGATGTTTGTCCGGTGAGGCCACACGTCGCTCCGTGATGAGCTGAAGCCGTGGCTCCGTGTCCCGCCTCGGCCCCGCAGACGGTGCGCCCCGCTCTTCCACAGTAAGTGTGCAGTAAGTCAGATGCCCTGGCGTTGGACACGTAACCATCATCATTATCAAGAGGCACAGGATGAAGACTTTCCTGTGATTTCCTCTTAATTTAAGCTCCTATATTACACAGTCATCTTTTGTGAGCTTTAAGACATGTTATAATGTTGTTACCTCAAAAAAAAAAAAAAAAAAAAAAAAGACCTGGAGTTGTGATTTGTTTCATTCACACATGTTTTAGTACTCCTTTATTATTAGGCTGTATACATCTCCAAAGGTTAAAATGCTCTGTTCCACCTTGTGATGTCATGAAGTGCTCATTTTAAAGTTAATTCTTATTTTTAAGTTTTCTTTAGTAGAGGTGAACAATTCCAGGGTTGAAATGATCCAAATGAATCTAGTGAAGATGTATGGAGTTTAAAACCACATTACCACATGACATCACGAAGTGGAGCAAAGAGTTTTTAGTTTGAAAGAAGAACTCAAACTTAAATCTGCATGGCTTGTATGCTAAACATGTGTGAATGAAACAAAACACAACTCCAGGTATATTTGTGATGAGGAAACAACATTAGAAAGGGAAAATAGTATAAAATGGGCCCTTTAACAGTGACACAAAAGACAAGTAGAAAATCGATGCATTTTAGAGACAAGACAATAAATGGGCCATACCAGGCATTTTAACAGCACATGTCATTTCATGTACATAAGAAAAACGTCAGTCACTTTAGTTTTCTCACATAAGTAAACACGTCATTCATTACACAACATTTTGTTTCAGATCATGACTTGCAAATCAGAACAGGTGCCTCTTTAATACCTCCTCTGATTTTTTAATTGTATACCTTATCTGCCTATATGTGTAAAGTACATTCAAAGCTGCTCTATGTAACTTTTCTAATGTTGATAGAATGAATGTTGATAAATGTTCCTAGCCTGCCTGTCATCAAGGAGATGCTTTTATCTTGAATGTTCCACATGGGGAATTAAGGGATTATCTATCTTGCATTGTTCCACCCAAATACAGATCTTTTCATTGCTCAAAAACATGCACTCTTCTATGATTGGGTCGCCTTTCCTTAGAGCTGACCTGTAACTTGGCTGGAGGCATCATTTGTTTGTCTACATGGAGATAAATAAGTTTAAAGGGCCCATATTACGCTATTTTATGATCTATGTGATAATGTCGCTTCTTCATCAAAAATATGTATTTCATTCACATGTTAAACACAAAAGCCCTGTACATTTAAGATGACTTCTTCTCTCAGACAGAAATCACTCAGTTCCCCTTGTGATGTCATGTGGTAATACAGGAAGTTCTACACTGTGTTTTTAAATTCCACACTCCTCCACTAGAATCATTTGGATCATTTCAGACCTGAAATTATCCATCTCTACTTAAAGATAAAACATAGCTATTAACTTGAAAACTACCACTGCATGACATCACAAGGTGTTACAGAGCATATATATATATATATATATATATATATATATATATATATATATATATATATATATATATATATATATATATATATATAAAATAATATGTTTGCGTGTGTGTGTTTAAAACGATGAAGAACTGTATTGTCATGAGTAAAGGTAGTATTCCACTGAATAAAGACTGTTTAGTTTCCTTAGAGGATGCTGCTGTTAGTGTATGCTCTGTCCTAAACGGGTCGTCCTGTGTGTCCCTCTTCAGGTGTCCTGTGTTGCCATGGCTCAGAGGATGAGACTGAAGCTGAGGACGGTGTTTGTCCTGTACTTCCTGGTGTCTTTGCTGGGACTTGTGTACGCGCTCATGCAGCTGGGTCAGTGCTTTCAGAACATGGCAGGAGCAGAGGCTTTACTCACCTCTGTGATACTAATGGTGATCTAGCCTAGAAGAAGTGATTATATGGATTTTTCAGTACCCTTATGTAACTGTAATTCAGCATATAAAGTCTGTCTGACTGACTGTCTTATCGATCAGCAACATGGTTTAAAGTCCACATATAGGTTATAATTAGAGATGCAACGACATTTAATATAATATTGAATTGTTCGATACTGGTCTGCACGTGTCTCTCCATGTGCGCTGTGTTGTCATTTATTTTGGAAAACAATTATTGCAGAGTCCTCCTCAGATGCAGCAGAAAACCTCTCCATAGGGACTTGCAGCAGAAATGTTTTAACAGAGTTGGAGTTTATCTTTCAGTCACTTTTTATTTTATGTTGATAGACCATTCCAGGCAAAACAATAACGTCACCTAAAAATGTACAAATTGATCCCTTTATACGTACTACTATACTACTGCTACTACTATACTTGCTACTTGCAATATTGCAAGTACTTGATTGTTCTGCAGGCCCTCAAACACAAAATAAATGTCCATGAAACTGTTGCTTCAACCAGTCAGATTTTGAGCTGGTGTCACCAGGGCCTTCTAGCAGCGAACGACATCACCAGATTCAGACCCGTGATTGGACAGCCAGAGAGCGAACCAGCCAAAGCAGCAAACTGCATCTGTAGCGGAATCAGGACTAAACCAGGTCTAAACCAAGTCTAAACCAGGACTAATCTTGGACTTGAGAGAGTGAGAGAGTGTCCTCAAAGCGCGATCAGGCGACGGCTGCACTGAGCGGCCTTGTGCGGCGCAGAGCCCCGCGTGGAGCCGAGCCCAGCACGGCGTGGAGCCGAGCCCCGGCGCAGTCTTTTCGTCTGTGGTTACCCGACAGTCTACACTGGCGAACCTTCGGGCCAGTCCCGACAAACAGTCCTGGTTTAGTTCTGGTTTAATCCTTGGTTTAGCACCCCAGTGCTCCTCACTTCTTCTCCGTGCACCGGGCGCACCCGTCTCCTCACTTCTCTGTGCACGGAATCTCCACAGCTCTTTCTTTTCTGGGAGACGCCTGTGTCATTTCCAATCAAGAAAAAACTTGCTGGTTGAATAAAAGTAACTTTAAGTCAAAATTTGTCAGGGGTATGAATAATTTTGTGTGTGTGTGTGTGTGTGCGTGAGAGCAGGTCAGCGGTGTGACTGCACTGAACACGACCTGCCGTATGAGCGTACCATCTCTCGCCTGCGGGGGGAGCTCCACAAGCTGCAGGAGGACATCCACAAGATTGAGAGCAGCCCCCAAGCCCAGAAACCCAAATCCTCTTTGCCCACCATCTATGTCATCACCCCCACCTACGCCAGGTACTCCCACCTACGCCCACACAAGCCAGCTACTTCTACCTACATCAGCTACGCCCACCCAATGTTGTAGTTGTTTGTTGTGATGATGTTTGTGGTGATGTCAGCTCCCACTGTGCACCGCAGTTTTCTAATATAGAAGTCAAGTGAACGTATTTGTTTATTAAGTCGTTTAAGATGAATATTGTGATTTTAAAATGTTCAAATGAGAGCAGAATGATGCATGGGGGGCAGATGTTAGAACTATAGAGCACACACAAGCACAAATGCTCTGCTTTAATGTTGCTTCTAAAACTGTTACAATCATTTTTTAAGTGTATAGTCTCTCAGTATCTTTACCTTCGCTAATGTCCTGATGCCCTCCCTCTCCGTGCTCGATGCCAGGCTGGTGCAGAAAGCCGAGCTGACCCGTCTGTCCCAGAGTCTGCTTCATGTCCCCGCTCTACACTGGATCCTGGTGGAGGACGCTGCTCAGAAGACCACTCTGGTCTCCAACCTCCTGAGGAACAGTGGGCTGAGCTACACACACCTGCACATGCCCACAGCGCCACAAAGGAAACTACACGAGGTACACACACACCCGTACATGCCCACAGCGCCACAGAGGAAACTACACGAGGTACACACACCTCTCACCTCCTCTCACTATAAACACATGCAGAGGTTCTCCTCTCATCTGACACATGTTGGATTTACATGTCTAATGTTTAGTCCTGGTTTAGTCCTGGTTTAGTCCTGGTTTAGTCCTGGTTCAGTGAGGGAAGGATGGCGCGTAAGACTGACAGCGTCTGCAGTGATTTGTTCATGTTAATGATGTTACGAGTTGTCGTGTGATGTATGTTTTTCCAGGGAGACCCTAACTGGCTAAAGCCGCGTGGTGTGGAGCAGAGGAATGAGGGTTTGCGCTGGCTCCGTGAGGACAGGAGAGCCTTACCAGGGGGCGTTAGTGAACAGGGAGTGGTCTACTTCGCCGATGATGACAACACCTACAGCCTGCAGCTGTTCCAGGAGGTGACACGAGCAGACATTTTAGTTTAAGTGATACTGTTCGTGTTAGGGATTGGGATTAATATAAAAGTGTAAAGATCCTCACAAAAGATGTCATGAGACTGTTTGTCTCAGTGGGACTAAACACCTAAACTCTGCCCCAAACATTATTTCTAATAAATGGGCAGTATGGGAAAAAATATCAATATACATATACATATATAATTTATATCTAAATATCTATCTATATATCTATATCTATCCATCTATGTATATATGTATATATGTGTGTTTCTCACCTTCCACGGTGGTTGGTCTCTCACCCTCATTCTGCTCGGCTCCTCTACCAGAGGCCTGAGAGCCTGTGAGTTCTGCGCAGTATCTTTGCTGTTCCCAGTACTGCACTTTTCTGGACTGAGATGTCCGTTGTTTTTCCTGGTATACAGAGGCTACAACAGATACCAGGAAGAACAATATGTATGTGTGTGTATATATGTGTATATATATATAGATAAATATAGATATATATAGAGATATAGATATATAGATATAGATAGATATACATACATATATACATACATATATACATACATATATATACACACACACACACATACATATATATATATATATATACACACACACACACACACACACACACACACACATATATATATATATACATACATACATACATACACACATACACACATACACACATACACACTAATGTTTGTATTTTGTGTTGATAGGACTGATGTGCCCTCAGTTACACTGTGCTTTTAAACAAGCGTGTACAGCAGCAAAGATGTTGGTGCATTTGGAAAGTTGACTGTTGTTTGGATGTTCTCTCTGTGCTGTGTGTTAGATGAGGAGCACTCAGAAGGTGTCGGTGTGGCCCGTGGGGTTGGTGGGAGCCATGAAGTACGAGAGCCCCACAGTGAAGGCAGGAAAGGTCTGTCCCTGCTCTCACATTCCTCTGCTCTGTGAATGCTCCCTTAACGTTTGTGCTGTGCCCAGCTCGACATTTCATCCAGGGGCAGGACTTAACATTCTATTGCAACCATGGCACAGGCAGGTTAAAGTTATGATTTGCATCAGGGTTAGGTAGGTTTAGGGTTTAGGAACAGTTTTGCTCAACAGGACTTGGAAAACTTGAGCTGTAACTATTTAGACAAAAGAAAATTTTAAATAAATCAGAAATGATATTGTTATCCATTGACTACAGTTAACTAATAAAGATATTATTTCATTGTATTTAAAAGATCACAAACAATATTATGGAGTAAGAAAGCTGTCAAAAATATTCGTGCGCATAAAATAGAAATCCGTGCGTATTTGGGAAATCCGTGCATATTTGGCTGTAGTTGCGCATAAAATAAATATTTGTAAACTCTCAAATGAGTCCAGTCGTACATAAAATATATTGTGTGTATTTTATCCATCAGAATACGAATTGAAAAATTACGACGTCATGAATTACAATCACGAAATGAAAATGTACGATTACGCTTTCATCAGTACGAATACGAATTCACAGACGGAACTTTACTGTCAAAAATACGTCATCACTTCACAGACATTATTCATCGAGCAGAAGAAACATCGATCAAGATCAAGACTGCGCATGCTCAAGTTTGTAGCAGAGGGTAAAAACAGAGTAATAGCACAAACAGTGACCAACAAGTGGGTTAATTAAAATCTATTGTAAAAATGTCTTGAATTCGGGAACCGAACGCTGCTGTATAATATTGTGTAGAAACACCTTCTTTGAACGGGAAATTGCACCTATATGTTAGATAACATAGTGGAGCCAGTTGGCAACATCCGACGTAACGTTATCCCAGGGCTAATTAGCAAATATCAGGTTCTCTGTAGGTTTAGATTAAAACATTCACGACTACAGCCACAGCGAGCATCAGTCAGTCTTCACTTCAGCTGCATTTCTCGCATGAAATGCCACCAAAAGTTCCTCGGTCCTGTCCTGGTTACAGACGTCACAGCTAATGAAATGTTACACATTACAGTTTAATGCAGCTTCCAGCATCAATTAATGTTCGTGTTTACAGGCAACACCTTGGTATGTTTACAGTATTTACCGGTAAGTATAACGTCACCGTGACGTGGATGGATTTGCTCATTATAACCCATTATAACTCATGAAAAACCCATTGTCTGAAATGCAGCTGAGATGAAGGTTAAGACTGACTGATGTTCGCTGTGGCTGTAGTCGTGAATGTTTTAATCTAAACCTACAGAGAACCTGATATTTGCTAATTAGCCCTGGGATAACGTTACGTCGGATGTTAGCCAACTGGCTACCGCTATGTTATCTAACATATAGGTGCAATTTCCCGTTCAAAGGAGGTGTTTCTACACAATATTATACAGCAGCGTTCGGTTCCCGAATTCAAGACATTTTTACAATAGATTTTAATTAACCCACTTGTTGGTCGCTGTTGTAGCTTCTTGTGCTATTACTCTGTTTTTACCTTCTGCTACAAACTTGAGCATGCGCAGTCTTGATCTTGATCGATGTTTCTTCTGCTCGATGAATAATGTCTGTGAAATGATAACGTATTTTTGACAGTAAAGCTCCGTCTGTGAATTCGTATTCGTACTGATGAAAGAGTAATCGTAAATTTTCATTTCGTGATTGTAATTCATGACGTCGTAATTTTTCAATTCGTATTCTGATGGATAAAATACACACAATATATTTTATGTACGACTGGACTCATTTGAGAGTTTACAAATATTTATTTTATGCGCAACTACAGCCAAATATGCACGGATTTCCCAAATACGCACGGATTTCTATTTTATGCGCACGAATATTTTTGACAGCTTTCTTACTCCATACAATACTGTCAATGTCACTCTGTCTGTTGAACTTCAGTATTTGCTGTAGTTACATCCGCCGATTATGAAATGAACTCATTCTTTGTGGAAAACAGCACGCAGCAGTTCATTCGCTTTGATTGACAGGGAACGCTAAGTCCCTGGACAAAAGGCAGAGAATTTAGGGAGTCCATGTCTAGCTCCTCTCTGTCCCTGTCTCTCACTGAAGTGTCTTGTGTCCGTCTGGAGGTGGTGGGCTTCCACACAGGCTGGAGACCCTCTCGGCCCTTCCCCATAGACATGGCGGGCTTTGCTGTGTCCCTGCGTCTGCTCCTGACGCACCCTGACACCTGCTTTGATGGAGATGCTCCACAGGGCTTCCTGGAGAGCAGCCTCCTCCAAGGCCTGGTGACCATGGATGAGCTAGAGCCCCGCGCCGACAACTGCACCAAGGTACTCTTCACACTCACCCAGGTACTCCTCACACCCACACCTACACTGAGGTACTCCTCACACTCACCCAGGTACTCCTCACACCCACACCTACACTGAGGTACTCCTCACACTCACCCAGGTACTCCTCACACCCACACCTACACTGAGGTACTCCTCACACTCACCCAGGTACTCCTCACACACACAACTGCACCGAGGTACTCCTCACACTCACCCAGGTACTCCTCACACCGTGTGCTCCCTGTGTGTTCTCCATGTGTTCTCTGCATGTTCTCCATGCGTTTTCCGGGTGTCCTCTGTGTGTCCTCCGTACGTTCTCCGTGTATCCTCTGTGTGTCCTCTGTGTGTCCTCTGTGTGTTCTCCATGTGTTCTTCGTGTGTCCTCTGTGTCTTCTCCATACATTCTCCGTGTGTCCTCCGTACGTTCTCCGTACGTTCTCCGTGTGTCCTCCGTACGTTCTCCGTACGTTCTCCGTGTGTTCTCCGTACGTTCTCCGTACGTTCTCCGTGTGGTCTCTCTGTATGTGTCATTGTGTCTTTAGGCAAGACACTTGCCTAGTATGAAAGTGGTGTGTGTGTGAGTGTTGGTGGTGGTCGGAGGGGCCGATGGTGCAGATGGGCAGCCTCACTTCCGTCAGTCTGCCCCAGGGCAGTTTACACCACTGAGTGTTGAGTGAATGAATAATGAAGTGTGAAGCATCTTTGAGGATCTTGAGAGGCGCTGTATAAATGCAGTGATTAATGAATGAATTCAATCATTCAGGCCACAGTCTGTTGCCTCAGCACGTCTAACCTGTGCTTCTCCTGAGCAGGTTCTTGTGTGGCACACACGCACAGAGAAGCCCAAACTGAAGAGAGAGGAGGCCCTGCAGGCTCAGGGGCTGGGCTCAGACCCTGCAGTGGAGGTCTGACCTGAACCACTTCCTCCTGCTGCTGAAGAGCTGGAGAACACCATAGAAGAGCAGCTGTGTGAGCTGTTTAGTATGGGTCAGTTCATGGATCACTGATGGTACTATACATTATCACAAGAACTGTTAAGATAGCAAACACTGAATGTGTCTATGAGCGTTCAGCTTCTGATTTCTCCTCTGCAGCTAATGGACACGATTGTGTTTTCATGTAGAATGTCAGGATGGATTCATGTCAGACGGAGGGCAGGACTTTTTAAAGAGGGGGTATTTCATTTGACTTCTGTGGGGTATTAACTGCGAACACATAACATTTTTAGATTGCTCATTTAGATTACCTTTTGAAAATGCTGTAGTCGCTGAAAAGAACATTAATAGGTTTCATAAGTCACTCCCAAGATCAGCATGAAATTACTGCTGCACATCGCACCAGGTTTGTGAAGTTGTAGTATACAGTTGTGTATCATGTTTTTGTATACCGGTATTTATGGAGAATTGTTGTGTGGTAGCTGCATAGTACCCCCTCTTTAAAGAAATGTCAAATCAAAAGGACACATTTTGAATGTAATCATTAAAAAAGAAAAAATATTAACTTCAAGTTGGATTAAAATATGCAAAAATACAGATGCGAGAGTTTTTGTTAAAATGTCCAAGCTGCAGTGAACAAAAGGACTATGTATGTGTCAAATGTGAACATCCTGCCTACTGTAGTGTATCTCTAGAGTGTGCCTCCAGGGGCCACTGCTCCTGCTCTGTGAGAGAGCACTAGTCTAGTCAGAACTCTGAAATTCTCTCACATATAGTCTGCATGTACACACATACACACATTACTTAGCATACTTTAGGCGGCACAGTGGCTGAGTGGCTAGCACTCACGTTTCACAGCAAGAAAGTTCCGGGTTTAATCCCTGGGTCGCCCGGACCTTTCTGTGTGGAGTTTGCATGTTCTCCCTGTGTCTGCGTGGGTTTCTTGCGGGCGCTCTGGTTTCCCCCATCAACCCAAAACATGCACCATAGACAAAATGCTCGAGCTAAGGTCCTGACCAAGCAGAGAGCACACTGCTTCTGAAAGGATGACCGAAATGCAGAGATCAATTTCCCTACAGCAGATGTCGTGAGCCTGTAGCTTGGGAGCTACCAGTAGCTCTCCACTCTCTTCCAAGTAGCTCGCCAAAGGATTTATGAATTATATACACTGTGCTTAAGAAGAAAAAAATTATGAATTAAATGCCTATTAACATTGTAAATGTGTAATTTTGATGCCTAACTCTGTGCAATGATAAATTAATAATGGCTTATGTAGGCATCGAACTGTACAAATCTAAGGCTCTTTTATTTACGCAATTTCTTGCGGATGCTAAAATGAGTAGCATATTTTTTTGATAAAGTAGCTCACCAAAGGAAAAAGGTTGGAGACCCCTGCCCTACAGGGATAATAAAAAGTACAAAAAAAATACATAAATACATACAGGCGTACACACGTACACATGTGTAACTGATGTTATGCTCCTCTGAATGTTCTCCAGCTCATGACATCTACAGTCACTGTGCTGAAGACGACACAGAGTGACTCTTAGTATTTTAGATCTTCTGGTTGTGTTTGGTGTTCCATCAAAGTGTTACAAGCTTTGAGCTCCACACAACTTGTCTGATGTTACTTTATGGAAAGTTCTGCATTTTTTGTACTCTTCAAATATCCAAGAGCTTTTTATTTTAGTCCAGTATGAAGAGAGAGCACTGGTGAAACAATACAAATCATTGAAGTGTAGGTACCGAGCATTAAAAAAACAATTTTGGCAACACTCTGAGCATCAAGAGCAAACAGAATCCCAAAAGCAGCACAGGCGCCAGTCTGAAGGCTGCATCTCCACCGCACAACTGACTGAGTTTAGTTAGTTTCGTTAGTTTTCAGTTGGCACACAAACATAAGACTGGTGTCAAGTGACAAATCATTTCGAGGTCATGGGCCAAATAGACAGTTCTCATAAAAAGTGTCAAGCACTCTACTGTAATGACAGTGTTAAAAGAACATTAAACATTATTTTCTAGCTCCATGGAGGCAAGAAGATCAGATCAGGTCAGGTCAGATCTGTGGAAAGTTGAGCCCACTCACAGTAAACCGACATGTTTTTAAATACATAAAATACAATGTTAATTTGTCTTCTGTAGCACAGTTCCTCCAGTTACTCTAAATTACAATCAAATTACAATAACATGATTCATTCACTCAGTGTGCTAATGGGTGATGGAGACCTATGACCACGCACAGACACGCACGCACACACGCACACACACACACGCAGGTACACACGCACACACGCACGCACACACGCACGCACACACACACACGCGCACACATGCGCACACGCACACACACGCAGGCACACACACACACACACGCACACACACAAACGCACGCACAGGCGCACACACATGCGCACACGCACACACACACGCACACACAAACACGCACAGGCACACACACGCATACACACACACAGAAAGTTCTTCTCTCAAACAGTAAACACTCTGTTCCACCTTGTGATGTCATGTGGTAATACAGGAAGTGCTCCACTGTGTTTTTAAACTCCACACATTTTCACTAGAAGCATTAGGAAATTTTTATTTCTGGAAGTTCCCATTTCTGTTGAACAAAAGCTAAAACATAGCTTTTAATATGAAAATTGCCACTACATGACATCACAAGGTGGAACAGAGTATTTTGAACCTTGGAGATGTAGACAGACTCATAATAAATTGTCATTCAAACTTGTTTGAATTGAATGAAACAAAACACATGCCCAGGTCTGTTCTTAAGGAGGTAACATTCTAATGCGACTTAAAGTTCACAAGTCCATTTGCGTAATATCTTTCACCTTTAATGTGTTTATATGCAACTGCCACGTGTGATTTATGTGATTTGGTGCTTTTGTAATTAAAGGAACCAGTTCAGAAAACTCCATGATTATGATTATATTAGTATCTTCATACGAGGTTAATGGGCAGAGGCTGGTCACATGACTGGAGCTGTGTGCAGATTGGCTGTGAGTGCTTCCTGTTTTGTGGCTGCTCCGTCTGTTTCATGTCTTATTTATAGAGGATTTTGTATTGTGTAAAGATTTTTGTGTCAAATGAGTTGAATAAATCTAAGCATTGTGTTAAAAGCTCAAACTGTCTCACATTCTTTAGTTCTTACTAAAATTCCACCAAAATGACATTAGCCTTATTTTCCCTTTATATGAACAGTTTGTTAATGACCCCAGAATGTTTTTGTATTTTACTTCTGTGAGGTATCAACTTGTGTACTAACACATAATGTTCACTCCTCCTTCAGAGTGACATTATGACGCTGTCAGTCTGCATCCTGCTAAAGAAACTACTGCACATCACATCAGGTTTGTGTTGAGGTGTAGTGTACATGCTTTTGTATATTTATGGAGAATTTTTGTGTGGAGCACATGGATGACATCTAGTATTTTTTTTGATGAGCAAATACCATTAAAACATGATAGAAACCTCCATCAAGTTGATTTTGCATACAAGCAGCCCTCAATAAACGTGGGTAGTACTCAGTTACATTTACTTGAATAAGTAAATGTAACTGAGACTACAGACTTATTCGTCTGCATTATAACAGGGATCATAAAATAGTATCATTTGGGCCCTTTGACATGTGACCTGAGAGTGAAGTGATCATGCTGAGTACTGTTCATATTGTTGCTGTGGGCCTTCTGCTCCTGTCTCACTCACTCATAAAGGGCACTATATTTTCATAGGTTGTAAACAGTCTCCTCAGAGCAGTGATCTGAGCAGTGAGTCACCTCTGGAGCAGGTCCAGATGCACATCTGTTCTCGAGGCCCCGGGGCCGTCTCACTTCACCTCTGTGCTGACTGAGCCGTAACCACGGAGATGGATGATGCTTCAGGGGACAGCCAATCACAGCACAGGTGCCCATAAAAGAACGTGTATGAAGGTGACCTCACACGACTTGAGTCATGACAAGCACCCACAGCCCTGTTGGATCAGACAGATCACCTGCCTAACCTGCACCCACCTGTGTCACCCACCCCCTTTATCACCCATCCTCCTGTCTAACCTGCACCCACCTGTGTCACCCATCCTCCTGTTTCACCCACCCTCTAGTGTTACGTACTCCCTTCAATCACCCAGTCACCTGTTTGCCCCCGTCACCTGTGTCACCCATCCAAACACCTGTATCACCCATTAAAGTGGTATACTGACAATACCCATGGAGCTGTCACTATGGCAAACCCAAGCTCCTGCACAACACGAGTGTGTGGTGCAGGGTGAAGCCTAAGTGTGTTTGTTTTCAGGCTGAAGAGTGTGACCATGACACACAATCAGATGAGACATGAGCCTAGGCTATTTTCATCTCTAAGACTGAACATGAATTGAACTGATTTATGGAGTGTGGGAGGGCATCTGACACGCACATGCAGTGGACAGAGTGTGTAATCAAACTCATGAGGTTGGATCAGAGCGTCACACTTCCTGCAAACATTCCAGTCAACACACGCACATGCACACGCACACACACACCCACACGCGCACACACACACACGCACACACTACTCTACACACTACACACTCACACACACACACACGCACACACTACTCTACACACTACACACTCACACACGCACGCACTACTCTACATACTACACACTACACACACACACGCACACACACTACTCTACACACTACACACTACACACACACACTACACTACACACACACATACACTACACTACACACCACACACGCGCACGCGCGCACACACACACTACAATACACATTTTACATAGTCTGAATATGGGTCATGTCCGTCCGTGTGTGTCACATGCCCTCCCCCTGTGTGTGGGTGCTTGGTGCCAGGTGCCGGGTGTAGGAGCAGAGAGCAGACTGTCATGACTGTAGTGTGAGTGAGCACAGCTGAGCGCACGCGATGTCTGTGTGTGCGAGTCCGGACACAGACCGAAGACATCATCATCAGCATGAGTGTGTAAACAGGTATGCATCACATCATGAGGACATGGCTCACTATGAGGGAAATCCTTTATTTAGATCAATGTGGTTTAAAGTTCAGATCAGTGTTCAGAGAGGTTAAGAGTTGGGTTTAGGTCAATGTTGGGGAGCAGTGACTATGGTTAATCTCTCCAGAAAATAAATGGTGCTTCCTCAAGAAGCATGGAAACCACGTGTGTGTGATTTGTGGGTGGGGCTAGAGCACAGGTGGGCGGGGCTATAGCACAAGTGGGCAGGGCTGGAGCACAGGTGGGCGGGCTCTCTCAGTAGGTATGAGTGTTGGAGGAGGTTCATGATCAGAACTCACAGAGGCTGAGGAGGAGCACACAGAACACGGTAAGACTTTAAATGATCTATTATTTGTGTCTACACTGACATATTTATTTAAGCAGAGGTGTACTCCAAACTTGTACAAAGTACTGCTACTTTAAAATGAAAGTACTCTAGTAGAAGTATAACATGACTGATTTATCATTTAGGTTTGTAAATGATAAGTTGTAAGAGTTACACATGTACAGATCAGAAATGAGTTCATATTGTCAACATGAAGCTTGTACACAAGCACAACTTTTACTCAAGATACTTTAGATAATCTTTAAAATACAAAAATTTATGTCATATCAATCTCTGACCTCATTTGTTTAAAAAGTTAGGTCGATATTATAGCTCCATAAATCTTTATTTAGTCCTGGTTCAGTCCTGGTTCAGTCTTGGCTTGGTCCTGGTTTGTTCATGGTTTAAGTTCAGACGTGGCTTAGATCTTTAAATGTAAAGATTCTGTGGTGGTTCTTGGTGACCTTCAGGACAATGCCGTTGTCCACAGAGATAAGACATGATGACATAATGGGGCATGTCACTATGAGCAGAGGAGTGAGGTGACCTGCTTCAGTGACTAGGTCCACCATGAGGCTGAAGTCCACCAGTGTTTGGAGAACATCTGCTCCTCCATATTTGAGCTGGAGATAAGACTGAGCACACTCATCAATATTCCAAACATTAAAGTTCATATGACAGATTTCCATCTTGTTCTAATTCTGACTGGGTGGACAATACTCCTCACAGTTTTACATCCTGTACAGTTCTTCAGAAATATTGCACGGCAGTTAGGATTCAAATGCTCTCTGACCACCATGATATAACTGTATTTAACAAATCACAAAAAGACTGTCGCCGAGCCTTAATATTTGCTCTAATTACATCTGCTGAACTCGCTCTCTATGGAAAACACAGCGCGCAAGTTACTTAGCTTTGATTGACATGGAACGTTAAGGTCCAAATGCCAAGAATTTAGGGAGTCCCCTGCTGTTCGTGTCCAACCAGGAAGTAAAACCATGAATTTAGCCAAAATAAAACAATAGGAAATGCAGGCAGATGGTAAGTCTGTTTTAGTGAAATGAGCGTGACCTGGCATAGGTCCAGTGGCTCCATCAAAGCCAAACAGCATCTATGAAGAGTAACCGTCTGAACCAGTGGAGCACTGCCAAATCCAAAGCTGTAATGCTATAACCTATAAGAGCCCAGTACTTTTACAGTGTCTCTTGAGTGTCTTTGTGGTGGTGGGTTTGTGCTGCAGATGTACCAGATGAGTCACATACAAATCCTATATTATGCAAAACTGACACCTGTGAGTTTTAAACAATGTTCTAATGCTGCTACCTCATCCAAAACATGCCTGGAGTTGTGTTTCGTTTCATTCTCACATGTTTGAGTAATTCTACATTATTTGTCTGTCTACATCCCCAAGGGTCAGTATGCTCTGTTCCACATTGTGATGTCATGAAGTGGTAGTTTCCAAGTGAACAGCTCCTTTTACCTTTAGTTCAGTAAAGATTGGCAATTCCAGAGCTGAAATCATCCACATGATTCTACAGAAGGTGTGTGGAGTTTAAAAACACAGTGGAGCACTTCCTGTATCACCACATGACATCACAAGGTGGAAGGTGGAGTGGTTCCTGTTTGAGAGAAGAACTCAGCTTAAATGTGTGAGGTTTGTGTGTTAAACATGTGTGAATGAAGCAAAACACAACTCCAGGTGTGTTTGTGATGAGGAAAATCCATTATAACATCCATCAGAACATAGAATAATATAAAGTGAGCTGTGAGCGAGACACTTGACAGAAGCTGCAGGGTTGGCACAGCTCCTCTCTCTTATGTAACTTCATGTTTACTGTGGAACGCTTGGGTTGGGGCTGTGAAAATACTCCACTTGTTATCTCCAAATGATATGAAGTACTAGGGCTCCCTTAGGCCACTAACACAGCATCATAATGACATTCAGTTGATTACATGGTCTTATCACACTGATGTCATGTTGGATGCTTCGTTAAACAATTGATTGGTGGAGCCAGATTTGAGTCACTGTTGGACTTTAGACCTGACTGGAGAAAATAGACTTGGACCTGACCTGACTGGACAAAATAGACTTGGACCTGGACTTGGACTTGAAGGCCAGTGACTCTGGACTTGACGCTTCTCCTCAAAACAATAGGCCTACATGTCTATACTCTATACACGACTCCAGAGTATGCTGCAACTGCAAGTAGTACATGATATCACACTGTTTCTGATTACAAACATGAACATGAAGAGCTATTTTTTAAAAGAACTACCTGGAACCTGTCCCTCCACGCTTCCCTATTTGTGGCCAAGGCTTTAAAGAAGGACCATATATGCTTGACTTGAACATGTGGACCATTAACTGGAGACTTCATTGAGACTAAAACAAAGGAGTGTCTCAGTTCCACCTCTGAGTATTACCATTTCTACTATTATTACTATTACTATGACTTACTGCAAATGGTGTAGTATTCACGAGCATGAAGTACATTCTTGGATACACACTGACTATGTATGACTGACTGTAGATCTTTAGATATCTTCATGTTTCTATCTGTCCTCCTCTGAGAACATTCTCTTCTCTTCCCTGGTCCTTTTTCTTATCTTCTCAACTTTGTCAAACTTGAAATTCCAGTGTGCACCTGACTGTCTATACGGGCTCTCTTACGTAACACCATCTACCTCATCTGGCCCAATCAGGTTCATTTCACTGACGATCATTTCCTCGAAGTTGAGTTTGTTTTCATACCTGACCGTTTGGACTGCTCACCTGGAATTGGATCAGATGTCAAATTGTATGTGTCAAAAGTATCAAAAATCAGATACTAATATTATCTTGATCAAATTTTAAGCTTGATTTTGATACTGAGGAATAGACCTGTTACACAGTACTGATTGTGATACCATAATGAAAATAAAAACACAGTTTCTTTGACAACACAATGTGATTTTCAATATTAAACGGTCATAATTTCTTTTCTGCTCTCATGTGGCCTTATATGTGTGTACTGTATCTATGTCTCTTCCGTTACAGGTGAAGAATTACCTGAAGAGCTTACCTTCAAAATGACCATTGGCCAAAGGAAGTCCTCCGTGCGCAGCTCCATCAGGGCTCCCAAGTTCTTAGACAAGTCCAGTGGGTTCTATGGCCGCCTGGATGAGCCGGAGATCCCAGCAACAGGAGAAGATCTGAAGGTGGAGATCTTCAGTAGAGCTGTGGAGGAGGTGGAGACGTTTAACGAAGACGATGGCGAGATGTTACTGAGGAGGAAGCCCAGCCGGCGCAGCAGCAGGTGGAGAAGCCTGCGCAGGAAGGGAGACAAGGACGAGAGAAGGCAAGGGAGTGAGGACGAGAGGAGACAAAGCGAGGAGTGGAGACAGGGAAGCGAGGAGATCACGGAGGTCACGATCCAGGTGCAGATGCAGAGTGTAGAGAGGGAGCCAGCCGTGGTGCACTTCCCCGTACCGGAGGAGGCAGATGACAGAGTGCTGATCAGGGACAGAGCCGAGCGGGAGGAGCGGGAGCATCCGGAGGAGCAGGTGCCGGAGGAGGAGAGGCAGAGGAGGGAGCAGGAGGAGGGCATGAAGGCTCTGAAGAGGAAGAGCAGCAAAAACTACCGTAAGGTGAGATACAGCGGCATCCACACCTCTTCTTTTTACCCCCAAATGCACGTCTGCCAATGTGCAAACCTGTCCCAAAGACCTAACCCTCACCTCAGGAACTGCTCCTAATCCTAACCCCAAATAAACATGTCAAAACATAACACTAATGCAAAGAAACCACATCTGGATTTATACAGCACCTTTCATGACACCCAAAAAGAAATGCTTTACAGAGCAGTGTTCATTCACTTCACACTCGGTGGTGCTTTGGTACTACTGTAGCCACAGCTGTGCCCTGTGTGCTCACAGCCCTTTTATCTCACATTTTAAATATATTTTGGAAAGTATATACATAAGCCCGCCCTCACCCTGGCGCTAAACTTAACCATAATCTCAAAACCAGATCCTAACCTTATCCAAAACCCTGTAATTACAAACAAAATATTACTGGTTGTTTTATGTTGCACCATACCACAGAAGCAAGTCCCTAGTTTGTGAATAAACCTTTTTTCTGATTGAGACAACAAGGCTCTAACCTTAACTCTACACCAAATGAGACTTAAACTTTTACCAATATTATACAGAACTTCATACAAAACCCAGCCCTTCACTGTAACACTACAACAAAGAGTAGCTGTGTGTGTTATTACGTTACAGCTCCTATTCTAAAAATAATGTGGTAATGTAGGCATGTGGGAACAACCCTTTTTTTTTTTTTTTGTGACCATGAAACAGGCAGCACTCAGTGTCCCCTGGTCCCTAGACCACGTCTCAGAGCTGCAGTCACCTTTGGCATGTAGCTTCCTCTTTCCCTCCGTTTACTGTGAGTTAAAGTTTAACTCTTGTGGTGACTCACAGTCCTGTGTGTTTCCATGAGCACACAGAGAGCGGAGTCTCCATAGACACTATCAGAGCCTCAGCACACATCATCTGAGCAGGTCGGAGTCCAGGGCCCCGCTGTGCCCCAGGAACAGGGGTCATCACAACGTGTCACTTACACTCAATACTGATTCTGATACCACAATGATAATATAAAACACTGTTTCTTTAGACAGTACATTGTGATTTTCTACATTAAAAGGTAGAACTTTCTTTTATATTCCATGTGTTCTTACATGTGTGTAATGGTCAGTGGTGCAGTAGGTTCATAGTGTCCATGGGTGTATACTAGTCTATATGTCTTCTTCTTGATCTGATACAGATCTGATACTGATCATTCTAAAGCTGCAGGAAAGGTTCATTTCTGTCTTGTCAGTGGGACTTTTTTAGTATTTAGAGCAGGCTCTAATGAGTATCTAGTTCCAAAACTAGTTTTAGTGTGCATTCGTAGCTGATTTTTGATACTTTAAACAAGCCTACTATGGTCCCCAACCCACAGTGGATTTTTATAATAGGCAGTAAGTCACGTACAAGGGAATTTAGAATTTGAAGAATCATTTCAGCTGTGATTGAATAAATGCCAGATAGAAAAGTTGGACATGGAGATAAGCAGGTGATGGACTTTCAACTGACAACTATCATGCCCATCAATGTTTGAATAATTTTAATATAGGCTAAGTGTAAAAAGTATTTCAACAAAGCTACTTTATACTATCAGAGAAAACTATTAACTTTGCTCCAGTTTTTGTTTCATGAGGATAGGCCCAGCTCTCGAGGTCAAAATAAGTCCACTGTGTATTGTCTGCAGCGTTTTATTGTCCAGTAATCAGGAGGTGCATGTTAGCTTTACTTTGAAGGCAAAACTCCACTCTGGTCTCTGAAAGTTGTGAAAACTCATCATGGTGAATCATTAGGATGCTCTGAATACATAAGTGAGAAAGACCTTTAGACTACTGAAAACTGTTTAAAATGCACTAGTTGTGTTTTCACACTTTTAAAGACAGTGACTTTAACCAAAAGTATCTACAGTTTGACTGTAAAACAGATAATTCCACCACAGAAACCCCTCCAGCTCCATTTTAACATATGGTCCATTTAACAGCTCATACCTCCTCACACTCTTGGCCCTGTCCCATGAGCACACAGGGGACATTCCGGGCCCTTGTATCGGCTCAGATCTGTGGAATGAGGTAAGGCGCAGGATAAGGACATTCCAGCGTTCTCGTCCAATCAGCCGCTGGCCCCGCTCCCCGTGCTGTGTGCAGAAGGTGGCTGCTGCTGATAACAGAAGCAGAAGTGCATATGTCACCACGGGAACCTGGTGTGTCATGTGATCAGGTGTTCAGAGGGGAGGAGTCTAAGGTCACATGGGCTGTCCCCAACTCATTTCCCACTCATCTAGATCACAGCTGTAGTTTGTGAGAAATGTCAAATATTTAAAAATGCACCACAGCTTTTGTCCTGGTTTATGGCTCCAGCATGGATTTTGGATGATTTTCTAATTTGGACTTAATACAGTGGGATAAAACCTGTTGAAAAATATAAACAATAGTTTTACACAAACCAAGGAGTAATTTGTGACCAAAAGCTGAAAAACATGTTGAAAACTGATGACATCATGTTCAGGGGAATTCTATCCAAAAGTTTGGCACAGTTTACACAAGATACTTTTTTCTAATATTTTAAACATTGTTTCAACAAAATAAAGGTGTTTTAGTACATTTTTATTTGTCAGATAATCATTTCTGTGTACATTAGAGGAGTGGCTATGTAGCAGTTATGGAATCAAAACCAGGCAGTAAAATTTGAAACCTAAAATATGGCCAAACTGGGATTTAAAACATTTTTTTATTTGTAGTAAAATCTTACATGTCTTGTTAGAATGAGCACCATGTAACGTTCTTGCAGTAAGGTCTCTCACTGTCTTTATGTTATTAGGTTCTTTTTGCAGACCAAGAGTTTGTTTTCATACCTGACTGTTTTCCCTGCGCTCTTCCTCAGAGTCACGTGATGTGACTGTGACGTGTTCGCTCAGGTGATTTATACAAAATACGTAAATGTGCCCACGGGACTATAAACCGGGATGAGGGTCTTTTTTACTCTCACACCCCCTGGGATACTGTCCTGAGGAAGTGGGACTGCAGGTGGTGCTGTCGTCCTGCCTCCACCAGTAGGAAGACAGCACCAAAACCTGTTTAAATCAGCTCAGCGACACGACACAGCAACATCACATGACTCTGAGGAAGAGCAGGGAGCAGAACAAACTGTCAGGGATGAAAACAAACTCTTGGTCTGAAAATCTTTATCTAGATATTTTCCAGAGTATGGCAACACTGGAAATACATGCGTTCTTGTACAGGCTTGCCTCTCCACAGATCAGACCTGTAATTCACAGCACTTGCTGGTCTCCATGGTTAGTTACTTAAGTTTAATCAATGCCATATTATGGTCCAAAGTTCTTCCTCACTTACCTTATGCATTTTAAGCATCCTAATTATTCACCAGATGAGTTTAGAAGTGCTTTTCACAACTCTCATGGAGGAGTTTTGCCAACAACTAGCATGCTAACGTGCACTTCCTGATTATCCGACAGTAAAATGATTTCAAACTAGATGCAGACAGCACACTCAAAAGAGTATCTAGACTGGACAGTAGTTTTAGTACGGATGATAAGACGATTTTGACCCGCACAGCTGACCCACACTTCTAACCTGCTTGTGTGTTGTGTGTGTTGTGTGTGTTCAGGCTTTGGACCGAGCGTTCCGTCGCGGCTGGGAGGCCTTCATCACTAACCTGTACAGTGTCACCATCACTTCCTCCTCTGACCCCTCCCCTTCCCCCTCCGACTCCTCCCCCTCCTCCCCCTTACCCAAGAAGAGGCAGCACAGCAGCAGGATCCTGGCGGAGATGCACTGACCCGGGCAGCGGTCAGGACGGGTCTCTCGGGGTCATGAAGTCCTCTGTAAACCACGTCCCCGATGAAGAAGACTAAACCCAGAGACAGAGGGCAGGAGAGGAGGGGGGGATACAGTGACGTCTAGTGGCCTGGAGGATGGACTGAGTGTCGCTCCTTTGACTTTATGAGAATTCTTTGTTAAATGAGTTTATTATGTCATCTATTTCCATCTAAATATTTTATGTTAAATGAAAGCAAACATTTGATGTAGGCTAACTTAAAGGGCTCATATTACACTATTTTCTTGTCTGTTGTCTACGTGTCAGTGGTCTTATGGATGAACTTAAAGGTTCTATGTTACACAAAATTGACTCACACAGGTGAATGAAACAAAACACAACTCCAAGTCTGTTTGTGATGAGAAAACCACATTATAACATAGATCAGAAAAGAGTGTAAAAAGGGCCCTTTAAAGTGGAGTCCCGGTTCATGTTTGGCGTGCTGTTGGACACGATGAAGCTTCTGCTGATGTGACCTGGCACACACAAATGCTGACCAGAATGTCATCATCTGTGACTATGTATGAATCAACCAATCAGATCGTCCCGTGACTGTCTTATCGAATCAGATTGTCCCGTACGGTGACAGTAGGAAGAGCTGCAGCTGGACTCTGCAGTCTGATCACTTTGTATGATGATATATGTTAATAATCTATCATTATTTATATGAACCATGTTCTAATCTGTCTGTGTGTGAGTCAGAGTGTCTCACAAGTATTTGTATTTAAATTATTTTGTCCATTCATAAGAACAGAAGCAGTTTTATGAATAAATGATGTATTTTAATAAAAGTGTGTTTGATGTATTAATTGGAATTCTTTAAAAATGTTTGATCCTAATCGATACTAAAAATATTATGGGAACTGGATACCGGAAATTAACCCTTTAATAGCTTTAGAATGATCTTGAGCTATATCAGAAAAAGTATGAGAGCACATAGACTAGTATACGCCCATGGATCACTATGGAACCTACGATGATTAATTAAAATGATTAAGAAACACACACAGAGCAAATGCCTTGGTTCATTATATCAAATAATTTCATACCATTATCCACTGTTTCTTACACAGGCTTCTGCTTTTGTCAGAGTGTTCAAACTGCATTTGAGTTGCTCTCATCTACATGGACCCAATGCCACTGAAATTATTTAACAAATTATCATTGGCATTTTCAGAACTTGTATTGTACTGGTCAGACTGACAAACTGAGCTGGAGACATTTGTCAGAGTGAGGGACATCATGGACAGACTATAGAGGGACAGATAATACTCCCTACAACTGTACAACAACTCACCCACTGCACCAGACTATAGAGGGACAGATAATACTCCCTACAACTGTACAACAACTCACCCACTGCACCAGACTATAGAGGGACAGATAATACTCCCTACAACTGTACAACAACTCACCCACTGCACCAGACTATACAGGGACAGATAATACTCCCTACAACTGTACAACAACTCACCCACTGCACCAGACTATAGAGAGACAGAGGAGCTCATTCTCCAAAAGACTCCTACAGCTACAGGATTACATTCATACTATAATACTCCCTACAGCTGTACAACAACTCACTCTTATGTAACAGATAATACTCCCTACAACTGCACAACACACCTTTATGCAGTGGATAACCCTATGTCCTGTCAATCATCAGATCATCTTTGTACTGTTTTCTTATGCAGTCGTATTTATATCACTATATTTCTATTTTTTACTTTACTTGTACATTTACATTTATATAGTTATGCCTAAGATATATGCTGAGATAGACATTGGCAAAATACAGCCCATGTGTGCTTAGAACAAACACTTTTTGCAATGCAAAAAGTAGTGCACAGTGATGCCATGCCTGTCATGTTCTACATATTTTTCCAACTTTTTTTATTTTTATTTTTTTTTTAACAAAATGCTTCTTGCTTCATGTAAAACTAAGTTTTATATTTACAAAGGTATAGGGTGACCAGAATTTCAAAATAAAAAACTGGGACACTCTTGTCCCAGTTTTATACAAGAAATGTCTGTGTCTCTATTTTTGACCAGTTTGATACCAGTCAACAGTGAAGAGAGGCATACATTGTCATTTGTTCTGGTAAAATACAGAAAAGCTGCATAAAAATGACAAAAACACAAATAAAACATGACTATACTGACCCAAAGAGTGCATAACCATTTTCACAATTTTCACAATTTTCTTATTACCGACTATCCCAAACCAAATTAGAGTGGTTTTGAATAAATCTGCTGGGACAGGGGACAGGACTCAAAACTGGGACTGTCCTGGGGAAATAGGGACATCTGGTCACCCTAAACGGGAATTATCCTGCCAAAGTAAATCAAAATTAGGTAAGAAAAAGGCACTGGACTAAACTGATTGAATGCTGCCACCTTGTGTGTGAGCGATGCCAGAGCAGGTCTGACTTTTACTTAAACTCACTAAACTTCACTAAGCCCGATGTTCTGCTTATTTACATGAACACAAACGGTCTGTGTCTGCATCACCACAGTCAGTGCAGTAGCGGGGACAAGTCACGTGGTGTGTCAGGAACTATGTATTCGGCTCTTTTGAACAGTTCCTTCATGTGAACAGTTGAAACCGGATCTCATTTTAATTAATTTATTTATTTATTAGCTTGTATGCATTGTTTACACTCGTAAAAGTGAATCAACACAAGAATCAGCAAAGAAGCAGAGCAGGCAACACGACTGGGAGATTTGTGCATAAAGAAAAAAAAGATCTGACATCATATCATAATAACAGTTCATTATTATTATTATTATTATTATTATTATTATTATTATTATTATTATTATTAGGCCTTGGTCGTGTCTTTCTGTGATTAGTTTGTAGATAAAAATTGTAATTAGCTACATTAGCTTCTATAAAAATGAACATAAAAAGAGACACACTGCTGAACGGCTCTTTGAATTTAACCCATCCAAAAGATTCGGCTCCCATAAAAGAGCCGACAGTCTGGGCGGGGCTTAAAGCGGAAAATAAAAGCCCGCGTGCGCCTCTCTTCTTTCCACTTCCTCCCTGTTTGTGCTAGAGGTAAGACGTAATAATTATTTCACTTTTAAATGTTTCTAACCGTTTTTATTCAGCTGTGCGCTTCCAAACAGCTTTTTAACCTTAAGACAAAACAGCCTCTGCAGGCTTGAGCCATATTGTTCAAAATAACTAGAGCTGGTTCTCTTGAACGCAAGGACCAGGATGAGGCAGCCGCCATTGCCACTCGCTCTTAACAATCGAATCCTTTTCCATCCTGCTCAGAAACACTACGCCTCTGCATCTAAAGATATCCACAGAGCTTTTTAATATTTGTTTCATAATTGTAAGGTAATATGTGTTAAAAGCGCGATATGTTTGAGGGCACGTTGCCACCTTTGCTGCCGAGGCCTGTTAGGCGCAGTGTCTTGGCGTGATGATACTTTTCACAGACCTGTACTGAACACTGTGATTGCAATTTTACATTTCTGACCCGAGACACTGACACAGCCCCGCGGTTCCGTACTCTCGTCCCACACGTGTTCTGTAACCTGGTGTGTGCTTCTCTTGCAGGGAACAGGAAGCTGAAACCATGCTGGATCGAAGACTAATGGAGGTTGGTGACTTTTCTGCACATTTTCACAAACGCCACTGGAGGTTGCTACTGTGATGACTTTATTGAACTCTCTCACTGAACAGATTTGAGGAAAGCTCAAACCTAAGCCTGAGTAGCAGTTTTAGTTTGGACCTCACTGCTAGTTTAACACTTTTACAACAAAGTCAAGAAATTGCACTTAAGCATTTGCTTTTTTTCTTTTCTCTTTTTTTAAATCTTGTTTTAAACAATTATTTACCAGCTGCATTAAATATGCACTATAACTTTTCTGATGTAGGCCTGCCACCTGCTGGTCTCCATGGGGGATGTTGTTGCACTGAAATATTACAGTATTAAACTTGTTCATGTTATGTTAATCCAACTATAAAAGTTTATACTAGAACAGTACAAACTTCTGTAAATCTGGGATAAGTGTTTTTTTTACTATCAAATATTCTTCTAGGCAAAGCAGTAACTCACCAGGCAGCTGTTGACTCTTGGCCAGAAATGTTCCATAGTGCATTCATGTTAATACATTTTGTCTTCAGTTTCAATTGAATAAAACTAGATTGGGAAAGATGGTTGTGCACTGAAGGACTGCAGTGTTAACCCTTGGTGTCTGTGTTTCAGGTTGGCAGTGCAGCTGGTCCTCATGCTCCAGGTAAGCCTCAGCAGTGTCATGTCTGCTCTGCTCTGTGCTGTGCAGTGATGAGCCCTGAACTCTCTCTTACTGAATTGGCTTTTGAAGAAACCTCTTTACCAGATTCTGAGCAGATTCCACTCATGTCAGTTTTTCCATTTGTAATGGCTGGAAGTGTAACATGTATTTGTTTAATTTCAGGGTGCTGGAGCTCCGTTCTCCTTGGTGAGTGAGTCTGAAAACTGAGGCAGTGAAATGAACCAGATGATGATAGAACAATAGACAAGCATATATCTGACTCCAGTGATGCCTCCTCTCTCTGATTGGCCCTGTGCTGTAGCTGTATTTGTGCCTGCTGCTCTCCTCCTCTAATCAGACTTTGTGTTGTAGAGCTACGCTGTGGAGATCCAGGGATGGCCTCGTGTCACAGGTGAGTGAGGAACACACTCTGAGCATGTAGTTGTGATGATTTTCCAGAAAGGTGAAATATATATATATATATGCCTGAGTCTGCTGATGTGAACCAGTGATCTGAAAGCCCTGCACAGGTGAGCCCATGTCATTAGCCCAGGGCTTATCTCTAGTGGAACACATGACACACCTTGTTTGAAGGATTTATCTGGTTAAACTTCTATTCAAACAGTTTGAAGATAACATTTGGATGTATGGCTCACCTGTCAACATTGAGTACTGCTGTAATGTAGCTTTGGTTCTGACTTGGTGTCTGCTTACAGGGGGACTAGAGCCACATGAAGATGGACTGTCTGGATACAGATGTGGAATTTGAGGCTAAAAGGTTAGTCTTTAAAATGGGCAAATTGCTGAATGAGTCCTTTACTTTTATAAAGCCATTTCCAGTTTGAGAGGATGAATGGGCTAAGCCCATGTAGTTCTGGACGACAGTGTCTCATGGCAGTTTGTCACCAAAGCCCTGATCAAACTTGCTCTTGTGTGGCTCGACACTGGTGTGTCAGATCTTTCTCACCTCACTGTCTCTACAGGGCTTGAGTGGAGGACTCCTGGAGGTGTTCAGTGGAGGTGGTCTCCTGAGGTAAGCTCTCGTCCTGCCTGTGTCTCTTTGGGTCTGTGATGATGATACTTAGCTCACTTTGAATGCCAGTGAAACGACACGAACATCTGAGGCCTGCTCAGACTTGAGAGGTTAAGCTTGGGTGGGGAACCTAGTCTAATGTCTGTCTTTGTTTACAGGTCCTGTGTGCTGCTCAGGATCTGCTGAGGTGAGAGTCATTAAGTTAATTCCTTATTGAAGCCTCTGATGGTGATGAGAGAACATTGGAATCTCGTTCGTCTGAGTGCGTGCTGAGAAATGGAAATCTGACTTCACTTATGATGTCTGGTTAGATGCTCTGCTATGTCCGTGCCTTAACACTCTGTGTAACAGGTCTGACTGGACCAGGACTGTTGAAGATGGTCCTACAGTGGCGCTGCAGCCTCTGGACAGGTGAGCTCCTGATGCTAACTGAAGCATGTGTGTCTCTGTGCTGATGAGCGCTGCACATGTCTGAGGCCAGGTGTCAGTGCCAGACCTGAGAAGGTGAACCCACTGGTGCTGCCCTGGCTTGGGGCTGACAGCTCGTTGGGGATCCAACAGTCTGAACTGAGAGTGAACTGTGTCAAAGGGGAGGAGGTGATGCTGCTGTGGGTCACAAGACTCCTGTGTTTGCAGGTGCTCAGCTGAGGTGATGACTCGTCAGTTGGCTCCGAGGACGACCTGTGGCCCAGTCACGGAGAACCTGAAGGAAGAGGACTGGAAATGGACATCCACACTAGGTAAAAGCATTTAAGAATCCTGCTTTTGGTAGCACTAAGCACTTAAATTCAGTGTTACTGATGACCTGTTTTTACCGCCCCAGTCTGAATGTTCATGACTGATTGGTATCCCCTCTGATCCACACTGCTGCTGTGCACCTGTGCTCTAAGAACATGTCTGTGGGCCATTTTAAGCACTGTCCTTTTCTCTCTCAGGTTTGTTGTGGTGTACATTCTGAAGGCCTGTGCTGGAAACCAAGTGTTGTGTTGGTGAGTAATTGATGCAGACACAAGCGAGGATTTGGAGCTTCATTTTAAACTGACTTTATAAAGTCGGATTTAAATGTGTCAATGTGTTAAATGTAAAGGATGAGTTATATTTACCGCCCCAGTCTGAAATTTCATGACTGATTGGTATCCCCTCTGATCAGAGGAAATGCTTAAAGCATTTGTTGGGGTTCTGTTCCTCCTTTTGAACTTCTTTCCTTTTAGGTGCGCCGCTGTCCTTGTCACATGGTCTCTGCATGGTGATATCCTGATCACATGGTAAGTTTTGTTTGGATGTGATGAGTGTCAGATACCGCCCCAGTCTGAATGTTCATGACTGATTGGTATCCCCCTCTGATCTGCTCAGTTCTTTGGTTTTTGTCATTCTAACTGGGAATTTGCTTTGGTGTCATGGTGCAACATAAAATACGGATAAATGTGTGTTTCAGGTGTGAAGAGTGTCCTGCAGGCTTATGGTAAGAACATTTCCATTTAATCATGTGGAGAAGTGATGAGTCAACACTCCAATGGTCAGATTCTGATGACGGATTGGTATCCCCGCTGACCTGATCTCCACTCAAACATGTACATCCTAATGTTCCACCACACTGTTTTAATGAGCCTTTGTCTTTGCAGCCTGGAAATGCAGTTATCAGAAGTCTGGTTTGACAATTTAAATAAAAATTTGAATTAATTTGTTGCGTGTGGGTTTTTTTAATATTTTAATTCTGCTTAAATTGCCATGAGACGAGTGACAGTTTGCGGTGCACTCTTGCACTGGTCCAAAACCTGAAGCCCTTTGGATAAGTTTCAGAAAAATATTTTATAGCAGATTTTAAGATGAGGTATTTGTAGTGAGTCCAAATCTACCTGAATTAACCATTATGTACTAATTTTGGGGGGGAAAATACTTTGGTGTTTGCTGCTGTCAGTGGAACTACAGTATGGGACTTTATGCTGGGCTTTACTGAGGGGAGGAAGTGACGGTAGAAGTGCTGATAGAACCGTAGTTTGGAACTGAACAGGACTGAAGTGCAGTCTAACATGTCATAGCTTGGTTGAGGTTGGTCCACAGGCAGACAAGATGTAAGGCCCTGAAATTTTGGTAAATATTATTGCACGCTTGAACGCTTGCATAAGGACTCAAAGAGCAGAGCAAATTTTAAATCTTCTGGAGAGTACCAGACCCTGTGTAAGTGGTGGAAGGTGTTAGGACCTTTGTAGTTCATGACTGTCAAAAGTCTTACACTGTAGTTTTTCATTAGCTCCAAGTTACCGTGTGAGTAATATTTTTATATTCCAGTAGAAGTCAACCTATCAGTTTTTTTTTTCCACATGTGAATGAGTATATTGTGTAACGCTGTTTTAACTATATAGCCGATTTTTTTTTTTTGTCTAAATGATCGTACAGAGCCAATATTAAGCATGTCAAATATATTACTCAGAATATTTCAGATCCAAATACTTTTCAGTTACATAAAAAGTAAAATCATGCCATGTACCTGGTTGAAACACTGCTCTGTAGTTGCACATCTGGCTATTTAACACTACAGACTGAGAAATGTGCATATTTGTGGAATCGTTTATTTTAAAAAAGTCCAAATGAGTGCCTATGTAGTAAGTACTGTGTCCATAAGAGCCTCGAGTTCCTGTTGGTGTGAAGACCAGGACCAATCCCTTGCCCACATCTCAGCCCCTCTCAGTCTGCAGTGAAGATCCGGGCTGCGATATCGTCCAGCAGCCAGTCCACTCCAGTCAGTAGGTTTTCCCCAGTGACCGCGCTGCAGCCCAGAATGCACCAGTGATGGCTCTTGATGTCATCCAGTGCCAGGGCCTGCACAAACAAAGGCCAAACATGGATTCAAGTTTTCCGTTGGTGTGACAGATTTCTGTTAACCGAAGGCACTCGAGGTCGATCATGAGACTGATGCACTACTCATACTAATAATGTTAAACTGTTTCTCACGCCACGCACTACTCTATGCACATAGGAGTTAGTCACACATCTCACAACAATAATAATGATCCAAAGAAAGGCCTATTTGAAACAATGAACAGGTGTAAGAACAGCTCTAATTTACATCAGAGCTGCAAGCTCAACATATTAGGCTGTTGTAGGTTAGGCTGTAGGTTCTAGTTGATCTGCACTTGCAATTTTTTGTTATGCACCATTGTCACTGAAATAAATTTGCTCTAAGAATGTAATGTTTCATAATTTATATCCAGTGAATGACAATAGTAAGTTTTTACCTTGGCTTGAATGATTGTTTATGTAAATGTAACACAAGTAGGGGCTTACAGGATAATGGACGACATAGTGTTTGTGCTGTGTGCATTACTGAGGTGGGTAACACATTTCAGTCAGATGATTTTTTTTTTTTTTTTTTTCCAATTTAATCCATGTATGTACAGTCTCCACATGCTCCAGCAGGAACGGGAGCTATAGCTACAGCATAATTAAAAGTGTTTAAACCTGCCTGTTAAAAATTCACATTGTAAATTCTTTGATCTTGTTAAAAGTTTAAGAATTAGGCAGGTAATTAATTTAGATAAATAACCTCCATCTGAGATTTAAGAACACATTTTGCACATGAAAATAACATATGCGCAAAATGCGGTATATTATACAATTCTATATGAATGTGTATCTAATGGCAGAATAACAGTGTTCTCTCTTGATGCACTGTTTGCTCCAGGAGCACATACTGACCCCCTTTTAACAGGCACAACTTTTCATTTGTACAATTTTGTACAATGAAAGGATTGTGTTGGTATTAGAGCTTGGCTGGGCAGTACAGTGAGTATCAGTGTGAGACAAAAGCAGTGTCCTTGTCTGTATGGTAGGAGAGTGGTTAGCCCCTCACCTCTTGAATAGCCTCTTTGGACAGCGCTCCAGGGAGGTCCTGCTTGTTTGCAAATACAAGTAACGTGGCTCCAGCTAACCTCTGCAAGGACAAACAACACAATTTTTAGGTTGTTAAGGGGATTCTTAATGCCTTTACTCAATACAGAGAGTAAGACTAAGGATAAGTCTCCAGGAAAATGGATGGACGTGAATGCAATGTCCCAAAAAAGCATGGAAACATAAGTGTATTAGCGTGTTAGCATGTGTTAGCATGTGTTAGCATTAGACTGTATAACTGGACACAGATAACTGGCTGCCACGTTCCAAACAGGAAGTGAGCATGGGCACGCTTCAGGCTCCATCGACTCCAGTTAACTTGAAAAACTGTAATCCCTCTCTCTGTAACTGCTGCAGTGAGCCTTGTCATGTTGCTCTTAAATGTTAACATTAACCTGCTCTGCATAATCCTGGGGTATTTACTTTGATATTTTGTCCGTAAATAAATCCCTGTTCCTAATATGGAACTCAGCACCAAAGTCACTTCTATCAGTGCTAGCCTCATGAGCTTCTTTTGACTGGAGCCGAACGCTGTGGGTGATGTTGTAGAAGTTTTCAGCTTGTCCAAGAAAGGGTGGAAGTAAAAGGCTGGAGACCAACTGGGCGTCTTAAGCAGAAGTTTATTTACCATCGATAATACGGGCCAGGATGTGACATATGATCTCTGCGTGTTCAAGCTCCTTCACTCTGCTTCCAAAGGAGGAGGTTTATAAAGCAAGTGTGGTGAGACTCTGAAGGTCAGTAGGCACCAGGTAGACAGAAATATACCAGTTTAGATAATGGTCTGCCAATAATATGCCAGGAGATGATGATCGTGTTACTGTAGCTCCTGTGAGTCAGTGTCAAACTGAGAGATGTAGGTGAAGATGTAGGGAAGGTCTATGGTGTTAGGGTGTTAGCATGGTACCTCCTCCAGCAGCAGTGCGCTCAGCTCCTGCCTGCAGTCGTCCAGTCTGAGGCGGTCGGCGCTGTCCACTACCCACACCAGCCCGTCCGTGCTCTCAAAATAGTTCCTCCAGTAAGAGCGCAGCGACTTCTGACCGCCCACATCCCACATGTTCAGCTTATACCTGCAACCACACAAAGAAATTAAGCAATCAATCATTCATACCACTAATCCTCTAGGCCCTCTGTGTCCACAGTTCTAAGATCAACATCCTTCTACTCATATACTCACTGTCCTCAGTCCCGTATACTCACTGTTCTCCTCTGTACCATATACTCACTGTTCTCCTCTGTACCGTATACTCACTGTCCTCTTCTGTACCGTATACTCACTGTTCTCCTCTGTACCGTATACTCACTGTCCTCTTCTGTACCGTATACTCACTGTCCTCCTCTGTACCGTATACTCACTGTCCTCCTCTGTACCGTATACTCACTGTCCTCTTCTGTACCGTATACTCACTGTCCTCCTCTGTACCGTATACTCACTGTCCTCCTCTGTACCGTATACTCACTGTCCTCCTCTGTACCGTATACTCACTGTCGTCCTCTGCACCGTATACTCACTGTCGTCCTCTGCACCGTATACTCACTGTCCTCCTCTGCTCCATATACTCACTGGCCTCCTCTGTACCATATATTCTTACCCACGGTGCTCTAGTGTTTTGATGTTGAAGCCTAGTGTTGGGGAGATGGTGCTGACATCTTCTCCATTGAACTTCTTGAGGATTGTGGTCTTTCCCGCGTTATCCAGGCCCCTGAATGCCACATGTTAAAGAGGATACAAACATACTACAGCCCAAAGAAGCGCACATAGCAGCTCAGGGTAGTTTGAGTACTACGCACGCTTGACTACAGTACTCTGATACATTTACTTGAGTAACTGAATTGTACATTTCAGCAGAGGTGCGTAGAGAAGCCAAAAATTGTTTGTAGACTTCAAGTACCTGGCTTCCACATATGAGGATATATAGTGTATGTCCAGCACATTTTGAGTTGTTCAGGCACTAAATAGTTTTTGCAAATCATTATTCAATTGTGCCTTTATTGTGTTCAATCAAGAATCATTAAAACATAAAATGCATGTTTTTGATATCATATGAGGACATATAAATACAAAATTATTATACAAATATAATTCTTTTTACACAACATCTGATTTATCATTTATTTATATAAGTGAATATAAATGAAAACAAATTAAATAATAAAATAAAATAATAAATCTGGTATTTTCAAATGATCAACACAAAAATGAGACAAACTAAATCATATCTGAAAGAGCGGTGAAAGAAACACAAATGTTTAAAATCATTTCATATGGTCAACATAAAGGTTCTGTCACATAGAGTCAATGTCCACAGATAGTAATGTGTCCTGACTCAGCTGATCGCTTGAGACAGAGCCCCCAGATCCAGATGATCAATAAATCTCTTTATGGATACCATTTTTATGGCATGGTCCTTGCTCATGAATTAATGTTCTGTCTGTCAGATTACATTAACTCATAAATCTGATTTGAAATACATTTTACATTCAATCTGTTACTCACAAAGTTTCTCCAGATCCAAATGTTTACTAGTACCTGAGTAATTAAAAGAGTCACAACTTTCACTTCTACTTGAGTTGCGTAATAATATTACAAGTAACATTACTCTTATGTGAGTATTAATTGTGGCCTTCTTATGGATTACGGTTACTATTTTTTCTAAGAATTCTAGGAATTCTACCACTATAACCTTGGTACATTACAATACAATACATTACACTGTATTGTGATGCAGACCTAATGTGTAATTCCCCAGCCTTATCTAAAGTACAGTGACTCTGTACTTGTATTGAGCACCAGTCTGCAGGCCTCTTCTACCAGGACGTTTTAGCATGTGGCCCTCTATGAAAAAGTTTGGACCCCACAGAATAAGATCATAAATAATTATGTTCTGCACTGGATTAGAACTAAAGATAAACAACACAAATGTACAACAAACACACATGTCAATAAGTCATGAGCAGTGTTCCTCCTGCTGCGTTAATCTAACACAAGCACACAGATGCTAGGCTCATGTAGCCCTGTGTAAAAGGATACAACATGAGCAGCCTCATCTCCCGCTCCTTCTGCTTGAGTTTCTTCAGAATGGTGAGCAGACCCATGTCACTGCGGACACTCCTCACACTGCGGACACAACGCGGGGATTTCTGTTTTAAAAGAGATGTTTTTTGGTAAATAAAGCGGAAAAAACATGAGCAGAACGGAGCATTGCACTCCCGGAAGCGCCTGCAGCCACGGTCCCGCCCTCACCGTCATTCATTGGCTACTTCCTCCCAGAACGAGTTCTGATTGGTGGAATGATCGATAGGGCGTGGGCTGCGAGGAGATAGAACGTTGGCGCCATCTTGTGCCGTAATGTAGTATGACATGGATACTACCATACAGTATCTATAATACTACCATATATAGTATCTATAGTATTACCGTATACAGTATCTAGTACTGCCATATACAGTCTACGAGGACAGTAGTATCTCTAGTACTACCATGGGGGTGACAAACATCACTCCGTGTGCTCCACAAGCTCATGCAATTCATGTGGAAATTATCATTTAGACTTTAGCCTTTGGACAGTGAAAGGCCTATAATAACCTACTAAGAAATAGCCTTACTAAAACCAAAACAAAACAAAACAAACTATGAAGAATAAAACGTGTTATCAGATAATCAACATCAGTTGATAAAATAAAATTGAGATGTTGAATTGATCATAAATTATTGACATAATTAGGTGTCTTTTTTTTCTAAATTAAAGTTAGGAGGATCAAGGTTCAAGGTTTTCACAAAGAAATCATCCAGTCAAATTGAGAAGGTCAGAAATTATTTTTAAATTACTTTTTAAAATGACATGTCATAAAACCAACGTGAGTCACAAGAACAAAATAACCACATGATCACCGTATCACTGGCTCATTACATGATTTAACTGTTACAAATTTTTCAACATTAAATCAGTAAAAATTATATAATTTTTTAACTCTTATTTTAGTTTCTCACCATTAACTCTTACTCTCTTTACTTTTTTGAGTCTTTTCAAGCCAACGTTTAACTGTCACTTCCGCTCACACAGGAAGTCACCAAAATAAAAGCGTTACCTTACTATTAATTGCTGTATATAACATACAGTCCATATATACATACATATATAAGAGCTAACTTGACCTTCATAGTAGTTTATATTGAACATTCATAGTTATAAATAGTGAATAGTTCATCATAATAAAAAAAAAAAAAAGTTATGTTTTGTTGCTGTTAGGCCTTTACATTTAAATATAATTTAATTTGTTTTTAACTTTTTACTAAGAAATCTCAGGTAAACAATATTTTATCTTTAGCGTATTAGTGGGGACTTTAAACACAGAGTAAAGTCCCGCAGCTCTGTTACTCGTGAGTTTCCCTAACGCGAAACTCACGAGTTCCACAAAAATGCACAAGTTGCTCAACTGTGATGATTCCGGAGCCCAGCAGTCCGCTCCAAAAGGCTGCTGGACCCGGGTGAGACTATTCGAAATGCACCAAGCATTTTATTCCATCAAGACACTATTTAAACCACGTTACCCGGTTTTCCTTCAGTCCACATGGGTGAAAGTGAAAGCATCCACCGCCCCCGTGGACCGGTGCGCCCCGCGCGTCCCCGCGCGTCTCTGCGCTGCCGCTAAAAGCTGCCGTTTCGAATAAAGAGAAAGTGAAAGCGCGCCGTCATGTGTCGTCACTGCACACTCCCAACCCCCTCTGTGCCATCCTCCTCAGACTGTCCCAGAGACTACAAGCTCCAGGCTCCAGCATCCACCGGTGTATCCACCAGTGTGTCCTCCGCTCCAGCGCCAGCGCGCCCCGGAGACACCGGGCACATGCACCTACAGGGCGGATGATAGAGGTGAGAGCTCCGGAGATGCCCGGGTTGTCCATGGAGACCACGAGTGACCCCTGCAGCCCACGGTCAGATGACGACGGCTCTTCCGTGAGTGATTAATTAATGCTACTCTACAGGGTTTGTTAGCTCTTTCACTCGTTCTATAGGTGTGTTTTGGGTAGGATTTCTGTGCTGTGTATGAAATATGTCCAAATGCACAGTTGCAAAATAACGCTGAACAGAACAAAACAGCACATGTAAGTGAGTTTTGGCTTATGTGAGGGCTGTAGGCTACAAACACACATTCACACTCATTCAGCCGTGAATCACATGAAATCTGCTCCACAGAGTACATGTGTGAATGCAGAGGAGCCTCAGTCAGTGTGTCCTGAAGAATGACACTTTAACAGATTTTCTTTACAGCTAAACAGACCTCTCCCCATTTCACAGTCTTCCACACACATGTTGGCATAAGTATTTATGTATTGCATACTTTGGTTCTCCAGACATAACCTACAGGGAAATACAAAAGTGAAACTAAACATGTTGCATCAGTTGGGTTAACACCTCCAGTTACTATTGTGACAAGAGAATAGAATAGAACCAGTCCGTTTTTTTTTTTTTTAAACAGTGTCCAGACACACTACAGAGCACAGGCCCACAGCACAACAGCTGTGTGCAGAGGGGACTCTGCTCATGCTCTTCTCATAATATGTTTGAGGAGCTCTTTTCTGGACACTCAGACACTTTGCACGCTGCACCTGGTGATACTCAGATACTTACAGCCACAGCTGCCCTGGGGCAGGAAACAAGGCTGTCAGTCTACACCAGTCTCTCCGATCACCACAAACACTCCTACACACTTGCATAAATATGTGGGTAAAATGTCTTACACAAGGACACAATGACAGTATACACTAAAACAATCATCTGACCACTGGGTTGGTGGGCAAGTGTTCTAACCACTGCACCACAGTCTTCCCAAGAAGAATCTGTTCAGACTTTTTTTTTTTGTATCAAAAAAACACATTTTATCAATGTGAAACAACAAAACTAGCTGATCCTGATGCAGTGTGACTGGACACAAGCTCCACACGTACCGAAGCTCCACATGTATCGAAGCTCCACACGTACCGAAGCTCCACACGTACCGAAGCTCCACACGTACCGAAGCTCCACACGTACCGAAGCTCCTCACGTACCGAAGCTCCACATGGACTGAAGCTCCACATGGACACAGCACATGTACCAGCTGATCCTCTGCAGTGTGACTGTTCCACATGTACAGAAGCTCCACATGTTGCAGTTTAGACCTCTAGAATTATGTTCAGGAATGCATGGGATTCTTGAATCTGTTTGGAATTTCAAATTTCACACATTTTTTATTTATTTTTTTAATTTAACCTTTATTTAATCAGGAAATAAAATAAAATCAAATTGATCAAACTCTTTTTCAAGGGAGATTTCAGTCATGTGTGAAGACATAAATCACACTTGTATTCATTGCTTTCCAGCTCTACTGTGACAGTGCTCAGTATAATGAGTACACCTTTACCTTTACAGTTGTTTTTTTCAATGATGCTTAAGTCTACACTTTGGCACACTTTTTCAAACTCACCACTGAAGGAGCAAATTCTCAGTTCATAACCATTTTCTTTTTTTTTTTTTTTTTCCCCAGTTTTTTTTTTTCTATCATTTTAGCACATTTTGATTGAGCACATCTTTAGATTCAAACATTTATCTGAACAGTGGCTCAGGTCAAATCCTCTGGAACATTTCTCATAAATTCACACAGTTCTCAGGCAATTGCTCAGAACATTGGACACAGCTCTCATTCACAAACACTCAAAAGCAGCGAATTCACCTTGTTTTGTTTTTTTTCTCAATACTACACGTCTGTTCACATGTGGTAAAAGACTGTGGACCAAACTCTCTCACTTTAAATGTAGAAACTCAAAGAGAAAAGCAAAAATCTACAATTTGTGATCAACAAGTGATTTCCTATAAGTCACACAAGGAACTCAGCAGATGTCAAAAGGAGCTGAGCAGAGCTAATATACTGTGAGTGGAGTCCTTCATATAGTATATGGTGGATGCTGTGTGAATTTCTAGAACATACACAAGTGTTGTAGTGATTGATATGTTTGTTATAAATATATGTTTGATCCAGTCAAATAAAATGGTCAGGACTGAGGCTCTGAGCTGCTCTGTCTCATGAAAGAGCACAGAAACACATGAGCACAGTCTGAGGGCTCTGATGGTCAAACTTCCCTCTGGAGGACAATTGTTCAGTTTTGAATGTGAAACTGCATATTACAGTTTTCAGAATGTGTTTAGAGAAACTCTACAGTACTTTGTGTGAGCTGTTGAGTGTTCAACTTTCAAAAGAGAAATGTGCCAAAGTGACTGAAAAAACCTGTAACTTCCAAAATGTTTGACTTTTGAACACTTTTGGCAGAACCTAAATCACAATAATCAACTATGTAACCACAGATTACATCTGTAACTCTGTCTCTGTGTATGTGTGTATGTATGTGTATGTGTGTATGTATGTGTATGTGTGTATGTATGTATGTATGTGTGTGCTTGTATGTACATGTATGTGCATGCATGTGTATGTATGTGCATGTACGTGCATGTATGTGCATGTATGTGCATGTATGTGTATGTGTATGTGTGTGCTTGTATGTACATGTATGTGCATGTGTATACATGTGCATGTATGTTCATGTATGTGTATGTGTGTGTATGTGTGTGTATGTGTGTGCTTGTATGTACATGTATGTGTATGTGTGTGTATGTGTGTGCTTGTATGTACATGTATGTGCATGTGTATACATGTGCATGTATGTGCATGTATGTGTATGTGTGTGTATGTGTGTGCTTGTATGTACATGTATGTTCATGTGTATACATGTGCATGTATGTGCATGTATGTGTATGCACAACTCTGGTGGGTCTCATCACCAAGTGCGACGAGACTCAGTACAGGAAAGAGGTCGACCTTCTGATCACATGGTACTGAGACAACAACCTCCAGCTGAACAAGAACAGCTGAACAAGACTAAGGAGATTGTTGTGGATTCCAGAGAGGCCACCCCCAACACCTGCCACTGACCCTCGACGGTGCTGCTGTGGAGAGAGTGAGCAGCAATACATTCCGGGGGTGCACATCAGTGAAGACCTCTCCTGGACCACCAACACACACATCACTAGTGAAGAAAGCCCAGCAGCTCCTCTAATTCCTCAAAAAACTCAAACGGGCAAGTGCCTCACCACCATCATGAGCACATTCTACAGAGGAACCACTGAGAGCATCTTTTCAGCTACATCACTGTGCGGAGCAGAAGCTGCACTGACCACGACAGGAGAGTCCTGCAGCCCGGCGGAGTAATCACAGCCAGGAAGATCACTCGTGCACCACTACCCTACCTGCAAGACATACACCACCCGCACACACACCACGCGCCTCACCTACACACACACACCACCCGACTCACCCGCACACACCACCCGCCTCACCCGCACACACACACCACCCACACACACACACCACCCGCCTTACCCGTACACACACCACCCGCCTCACCTGCACACACACACCACCCACACACACACACACCACCCGCCTCACCCACACACACACACCCACCCGCCTCACCGCACACACACCACCCGCCTCACCCGCACACACACACCACCCGCCTCACCCGCACACACACCACCCGCCTCACCCGCACACACACCACCCGATTCACCCACACCACCTGCCTCACCCGCACACAGACACCACCCGCCTCACCCACACACACACACCACCCGCCTCTCCCGCACGCACACACACACACCACCCGCCTTACCTGCACACACACACCACCCGCACACACACCACCCGCCTCACCTACACACACACACCACCCGACTCACCCACACCACCCGCCTCACCCGGACACACACACCACCTACACACACACCACCCGCACACACACCACCCACACACACCACCCGATTCACCTGCACACACACCACCCTACTCACCCACAGACACACACCACCCGCCTCACCTGCACACACACACCACCTACACACACACCACCCGCACACAGACCACCCACACACACCACCCGATTCACCTGCACACACACCACCCTACTCACCCACAGACACACACCACCCGCCTCACCCGCACACACACACCACCTACACACACACCACCCGCACACAGACCACCTGCACACACACCACCCGATTCACCCGCACACACACCACCCGCCTCACCCGCATACACACACCACCCGCCTCACCCGCACACACACCACCCGCCTCACCCGCATACACACACCACCCGCCTCACCCGCATACACACACCACCCGCCTCACCCGCACACACACCACCCGCCTCACCCGCACACACACACCACCCGCCTCACCCATATACACACCACCTACATACACATATGTATGTGCATGTATGTGCATGTCTGTGCATGTATGTATATGTATGTGTATCACCATCATCATCATCTTTATTCCGGACTCATGGTCCACTTCAAAAACAGACAAGGACAGTGACAACACAAAACAACAAACATTCATGCTTTAAAAGAAAACCACACGAGTGTCTCCACATACTGGACTGATCTTATTGCATTGAATCTCAGATTTGTGAGTGACATTATTATTTCATTGTCTGATTTGTTCAGTCTTCAGATAAAACTGTACATTAAAATTCTTAGTGCAGCTTGCAAAGTGTTCACTTGTGCAATAACAAATATTTCAGTCGCACTCGTCCATCGTGGCTCCTCAAAAGCTCCATAAAGTGTCATTGTAAGCACCTGCAGTCTTTGCAAACTGGCTTTTTTATAATTAGTCCAGAGGTGAGCTGTGTACAACGGTGTACAATATGGTTCAAACAATAACAACTTTATATCATTCGTACAAGAACCAAACTTATGCATAAGAGGATTTGCCTGAGCATAGAGCGTCCTACTCTGTCTGTACACATCATCATCTGTCATGTCCGCGCTGATGACATGCCCCAGATATTACATTTTTATTGTAACAAACAACACAACATTTGACAGGCAAAAGTGAGGAAATCTCACGTGCTCATCTTCTTTGGTCCTACAGATCATGACCAGACTCTTGGTTGCATTATACTTTATATCCTGCTCCACACTGAACAGATGTTGAGTAGCTGCTGGAGACCAGAGGTGCTTGGACTGAAAACAACCAAGTCATCTGCAAACATTAAATGATTCACAATAAGATTTCCAGCCACACAACCAGTTTTGGATGTTCTAAGCTTTGTTGACAATTCATCTAAATACAAATTAAATAAAACAATATGTACAGTCAAGCCCAAAATTATTCATACCCCTGACAAATTTTGACTTAAAGTTACTCTTATTCAACCAGCAAGTTTTTTCTTGATTGGAAATGACACGGGCGTCTCCCAGAGGATAATGAGACAAAGGTACAAGAGGCATAATGTAGAAAAAATTATTTCTCAACTTTTATTTACATTTGAACAAAAAGTGGCATGTCCAGAATTATTCGTACCCTTCTCAATCATCAATAGAAAAGCCTTTTTTTTAATTGACTATTACAGTAATCAAATGCTTCCTATAATTGCTGACCAGTTTTTTGAATGTCTCCACTGATATTTTTGCCCAGTCATCTTTAGCGATGAGCTCCAGTGCTTTCAGACTGGAGGGTCTCGTTGCCATCACCCTGATCTTTAGCTCCCTCCACAGATTCTCAGTTGGATTCAAGTCAGGACTCTGGCTGGACCACTGCAAAACGGTAATGTTGCAGTCTAATAAACATTTCTTTACCACTTTTGCAGTGTGCTTTGGGTTGTTGAGGTGCTGAAATGTTCACTGGTGCCCGAGTCCAAGTTCCTCTGCAGCTGCTTGATGTTGTTGTTGAGAGTCTTGATCTATGGCTCTTTGTTCATGGTGCTGTTTACTGTGATTAGACTCCCTGGACCATTGACTGAAAAAACATCTCCAAAGCATTAAGTTCCTACCATCATGTTTGACAGTGAGGATGGTGTTCTTAGGGCTGAAGGCTTCTCCTTTTTTACGCCAGATCATCAATACACAGCAGAGCCAGATTCACCTGGATGGCCTTGGGGGTGATCTGTGGATTCTTTTTCACCTCTCTCACTATCCTTCTGCCCAGCACAGGTGTCACTTTCGGCTTCCGATCACATCCTCTGAGATTTTCCACAGTGTGGAACGTATTTTTTAATAATTCTTTTCACTATAGCCACTGGAACATTTAAATATGGCCTTATAGCCCTTTCCTGACTTGTGAGCAGCCACAATACGCAGTTGCAGATGCTCAGAGAGCTTCTTTGTCTTAGCCGTGACTGTTCACAAACCAAGTGCAAAGACCTGCTGTTTTTCACCTGTTCAGTTGTTTAAAACAGGTCTTCTCAATGAATCAGGGTCATTAGGACGTTTTAGAACAGTTTGTGCTGTTTGGAATGGTTAGATTTTTCCATAGACTCTGACAGTTTACAAAGGGTATACATAAGTCTGGACATGACCCTTTTTGTTCAAATGTAAATAAAAGCTGAGAAATATTTTTTTGAACAATGATGCCTCTTGTACTTCGTCTTATTATCTTCTGGGAGACGCCTGTGTCATTTCCAATCAAGAAAAAATTTGCTGGTTGAATAAAAGTAACTTTAAGTCTGTACGAGTGCTTTAACTTTAAGAACTTTAAGAGTGTACTGCACACTCTCACCACAGACACAAAACACAAAACTGAACACACACAAATCACAGACACACAAACACTAGAAACACAACATAAAAGTTTTTCATTCAGAGACTGAGGGCCAAATGCTAAAAATCATAGCTATGTGCTCATTTTGTGTCCTAAATGATTGTTTCGTGTTGTACACACACTTACAGCATTTACCTCACTGTAATTATTCTGTGTGTACTCATAGAACTAAAATCAAATCCAGAAGATGAATCCAAGATGGCGTCGTAGTGTTTTCAGTGGCCCGTGCTCAATGGGTCAACAATCTAATTTGCACCTTATACTGTATATACATTGGTTGTTTTGTCGTGTTGTTATATGTCAGCAATAAAAAAAAAAAAAACAGAGCGCAGTCTCGTGTATCACATGATCGCTTTAACCAATCAGAGCGAGAGGAGCGAAAGCCTTTTTTAACTGAAGGATTTTGAGCTGAGAAAAAGTTCATGATCTAAAAATAGGTAAAAATCACCACAAAATCTGACATGTTTGAAAGTTGTATTTGCCCTGCCAGTTGAACATGAGCAGTTTGTGATTACATTGCCCGGGGGATTTTTTCGCTGTAGCACCAGTGACACTACAGCTACAAGCTAAAGCAGCAACACCTATCCAGTTATTTTAATAGATCCATGGTATGTACTATGTGATTTTGAAGTTGTTGATTTGTTGCTGTGCAGGACAGAGGGTGGCACCCCCGAGTGGACAGGAGGAGCAGCAGGAGGCTGAGGAACAGAGACGCAGCCAGAAAGAGCAGACAGAAGACCACTGAGAGGGCAGATGAGCTGCACCAGGTCTGTGTGTAACATCTGTGTGACATGTGTAACACGTGTGTCTCTGTGTGTAACATGTAACATGTGTGTAATAATAATAATAATAATAATAATAATAATGTTTTATAATCAATAATAGTAATCAATAATCAGTTTTATATAGTGCTTTTCTGGACACTCAAAGATTCATTAACTCCACATCCAAGATACTATCATGGCCACAGTTGCCCTGGGGCAGACTAGTGCGTGGCTGCCAATCTACGCCATCAGTCCCTTGGACCATCATCATCACTCACACACACACCACTTTCATACTAAGCAATAAAGGTGAAATGCCTTGCCTAAGAGCACAACAACAGTTTTTTGTGACTGGCGCCCCACTGTGGCACCTGATTTTCCCAGTGGTCTCCCATCCAAGTACTAACCAGGCCCACCCTGCTGAGCTCCTGAGATCTGACGGGATCAGACTGTGACAAACTCATATGGCCACAAAGTGTCTGTGTGCAACGTGTGTGTCTGTGTGTAACGTGTGTGTCTGTGTGTAACGTGTGTGTCTGTGTGTAACGTGTGTGTCTGTGTGTAACGTGTGTCTGTACGTAACGTGTGTGTCTGTGTGTAACGTGTGTGTCTGTGTGTAACGTGTGTCTGTGTGTAACATGTGTGTATCTATGTGTACATAGATATACACATCTGTGTGTTACACCTGTGTGTATGTGTGTGTTACACCTGTGTGTATGTGTGTGTTACACCTGTGTGTATGTGTGTGTTACACCTGTGTTACAAACAGATACACACTGTGTGTGGAACTGTTTGTGGATGGGTATTTATCTCATTGTGGGAACTAAAATCTATACACACATGATGAGGACCTGCCTCGCTTATAGGGACAATATCAGGTACTGATGTAAATCCTTTATTATTAGATCAACAACATAATGAGCATTAAACACTTTTGCGTTTGCAGTTTTAATACCATAGGCACTGTCACTGAGTGTGGTGGAAAACAGATGAAGACTCCCTGACCCATCCGCCTGTTACACTGACACACAAAGGTCACCGAGAAGCCTAGTGTGTTTCTACAGCAAAACTTGAATTTTAGGCTAAAATAAGGCAATAAAGTGACTATGAAATCTTTACCCTGAAATCAGTTGAATGCATGGGAACGTGTGTGTGCGTGTGTGTGCGTGTGCGTGTGTTTGCACAGGGCAGGGCACTGAGACAGCCTTCTTATAAGCAGAGCATTTACAAGAAACGTATTACACAAGCCTGTTCGCGCACACACACACACGTACGCACACACGCACACACACACACACCCACACACTCCATCACACAGTCTGAAATTAAAGGGTGGAAATCAGCCTTTGTATTTTTGGATTAACTAAAAGCACAGTGCTGTTGAAATGCCACAGTGATACAGTGTGTTGTATACAGTGTGTTGTATCCAGTGTGTTGTATACAGTGTGGTGTATACAGTGTGTTGTATACAGTGTGTTGTATACAGTGTGTTGTATCCAGTGTGTTGTATACAGTGTGGTGTATACAGTGTGTTGTATCCAGTGTGTTGTATACAGTGTGTTGTATCCAGTGTGTTGTATACAGTGTGGTGTATACAGTGTGTTGTATACAGTGTGGTGTATACAGTGTGTTGTATACAGTGTGTTGTATCCAGTGTGTTGTATACAGTGTGTTGTATCCAGTGTGTTGTATACAGTGTGGTGTATACAGTGTGTTGTATACAGTGTGGTGTATACAGTGTGTTGTATACAGTGTGGTGTATCCAGTGTGTTGTATACAGTGTGGTGTATACAGTGTGTTGTATCCAGTGTGTTGTATCCAGTGTGTTGTATACAGTGTGTTGTATCCAGTGTGTTGAATACAGTGTGTTGTATACAGTGTGTTGTATACAGTGTGTTGTATACAGTGTGTTGTATACAGTGTGTTGTATACAGTGTGTTGTATCCAGTGTGTTGTATACAGTGTGTTGTATACAGTGTGTTGTATACAGTGTGTTGTATACAGTGTGGTGTATACAGTGTGTTGTATACAGTGTGGTGTATACAGTGTGTTGTATACAGTGTGTGTTGTATCAGTGTGTGTTGTATACAGTGTGTGTATACAGTGTTGTATACAGTGTGTTGTATACAGTGTGGTGTATACAGTGTGTTGTATACAGTGTGTGTGTGGTGTATACAGTGTGTGTTGTATACAGTGTGTGTGTGTATACAGTGTGTTGTATATACAGTGTGTGTACAGTGTGTGTATACAGTGTGTTGTATACAGTGTGGTGTATACAGTGTGTTGTATACAGTGTGTGTGTGTGTGTATACAGTGTGTTGTATACAGTGTGTTGTATACAGTGTGTGTGTGTGTGTATACAGTGTGTGGTGTATACAGTGTGTGTGGTGTATACAGTGTGTTGTATACAGTGTACAGTGTGTTGTATACAGTGTGTTGTACAGTGTGTGTATACAGTGTGTGTACAGTGTGGTGTATACAGTGTGTTGTATACAGTGTGTGTATACAGTGTGTGTGTTATACAGTGTGTTGTATCCAGTGTGTGTTGTATACAGTGTGTTGTATACAGTGTGGTGTATACAGTGTGTGTATACAGTGTGTGTGTGTTGTATACAGTGTGGTGTATACAGTGTGTTGTATACAGTGTGGTGTATACAGTGTGTTGTATACAGTGTGGTGTATACAGTGTGTTGTATACAGTGTGGTGTATACAGTGTGTTGTATACAGTGTGTTGTATACAGTGTGTGTGTGTGTTGTATACAGTGTGGTGTATACAGTGTGTTGTGTATACAGTGTGGTGTATGTGTGTGTATACAGTGTGTTGTATACAGTGTACAGTGTGTTGTATACAGTGTGTTGTATACAGTGTGTTGTATACAGTGTGTTGTATACAGTGTGGTGTATACAGTGTGTTGTATACAGTGTGGTGTATACAGTGTGTTGTATACAGTGTGTTGTATACAGTGTGGTGTATACAGTGTGTTGTATACAGTGTGGTGTATACAGTGTGTTGTATACAGTGTGGTGTATACAGTGTGTTGTATACAGTGTGTTGTATACAGTGTGTTGTATACAGTGTGGTGTATACAGTGTGTTGTATACAGTGTGTTGTATCCAGTGTGGTGTATAGTGTATGTGTGTTATACAGTGTGTTGTATACAGTGTGTGGTGTATACAGTGTGTTGTATACAGTGTGTGTGTATACAGTGTGTTGTATACAGTGTGTGTGTATACAGTGTTGTATACAGTTGTGTTGTATACAGTGTGTTGTATACAGTGTGATGTATACAGTGTGGTGTATACAGTGTGTTGTATACAGTGTGGTGTATACAGTGTGTTGTATACAGTGTGTTGTATCCAGTGTGTTGTATACAGTGTGTTGTATCCAGTGTGTTGTATACAGTGTGGTGTATACAGTGTAGTGTATACAGTGTGTTGTATACAGTGTGTTGTATCCAGTGTGTTGTATACAGTGTGGTGTATACAGTGTGTTGTATCCAGTGTGTTGTATCCAGTGTGTTGTATACAGTGTGTTGTATCCAGTGTGTTGAATACAGTGTGTTGTATACAGTGTGTTGTATACAGTGTGCTGTATACAGTGTGTTGTATACAGTGTGGTGTATACAGTGTGTTGTATACAGTGTGGTGTATACAGTGTGTTATATACAGTGTGTTGTATCCAGTGTGTTGTATACAGTGTGTTGTATCCAGTGTGTTGTATACAGTGTGGTGTATACAGTGTGTTGTATACAGTGTGGTGTATACAGTGTGTTGTATACAGTGTGTTGTATACAGTGTGTTGTATTACAGTGTGTTGTACAGTGTGTTGTATACAGTGTGGTGTATACAGTGTGTTGTATACAGTGTGGTGTATACAGTGTGTTGTATACAGTGTGGTGTATACAGTGTGTTGTATCCAGTGTGGTGTATACAGTGTGTTGTATACAGTGTGGTGTATACAGTGTGTTGTATACAGTGTGTTGTATCCAGTGTGGTGTATACAGTGTGGTGTATACAGTGTGTTGTATACAGTGTGTGTATACAGTGTGTTGTATACAGTGTGTTGTATACAGTGTGTGTATACAGTGTGTGTGTATACAGTGTGTTGTATACAGTGTGGTGTATACAGTGTGTTGTATACAGTGTGGTGTATACAGTGTGTTGTATACAGTGTGTTGTATACAGTGTGTTGTATCCAGTGTGTTGTATACAGTGTGGTATATACAGTGTGTTGTATACAGTGTGGTGTATACAGTGTGGAGTATACAGTGTGTTGTATCCAGTGTGGTGTATATAGTGTGGTGTATACAGTGTGTTGTATACAGTGTGGTGTATACAGTGTGTTGTATACAGTGTGTTGTATACAGTGTGTTGTATACAGTGTGTTGTATCCAGTGTGTTGTATACAGTGTGGTATATACAGTGTGTTGTATACAGTGTGGTGTATACAGTGTGGAGTATACAGTGTGTTGTATCCAGTGTGGTGTATATAGTGTGGTGTATACAGTGTGTTGTATACAGTGTGGTGTATACAGTGTGGTGTATACAGTGTGTTGTATACAGTGTGTTGTATACAGTGTGATGTATACAGTGTGGTGTATACAGTGTGTTGTATACAGTGTGGTGTATACAGTGTGTTGTATACAGTGTGTTGTATCCAGTGTGGTGTATACAGTGTGTTGTATCCAGTGTGGTGTATACAGTGTGTTGTCAGATGGACAGCTTCTACATGGCAGAATGTCCCTGCACACAGCACAGTGTCCTGAAGTTTACACCCTGACACTGTGACACTTGTGTTCTGAAGTGCATGGGATTGTTATATTAGTTTGGCATTTCAAATTTAAGTCTCCTCTCAGATATTACTGCTCATGGGCCTGTTTAAAATGTGCCCTGTTCTCGTTTGCACATCTCTTCACAACTGCAATATTTGTTTAAAAAAAATCACAATTCCATATTCTTCCAAAATGGTGCCACACTCGTTTCCAGGCACATAAAGCTTTGTCTCAGTGGCCTGTCTATTATGCTTCTTAATAGTGATTTCTCAGTGGCCCATATTGCACACTTTTTTCCTCATCACAAACCACAGAGCTGTGGTTTGTTTCATTCACATGTGCTTAACAACCAAACCCTGCATTTAGGCTGAGTTCTTCTTTCAAACAGAAAACAACACCTTGTGATGTCATGTGGTAATAAAGGATTTTTAACTTCATACTTAACACTTAACTCCATACACATTTACTAGAGTAATTTAGATCATTTCATCCCTGGAATTGCCAATCTGTACTGAATTGAACTGAAAGGTATTTGTTACCTTAAAAACTACCACTTCATGACATCACAAGGTGGAACAGAGCATTTTGAGCTATGGAGATGTAGACAATGTAGACAACTAATAATGCAGGATGACTCAAACATGTGTGAATGAAACTAAACACAACTCCTGGTGTGTTTTTGAGGAGGGAACAGTGTTCTAACAGTGGTTAAAGCTCAAAAGAGTCAAGTTTGCATAATATAGAGACAACATTAAACATGTTAGAATGCAGAACAGTTAGAAATGGAACTATTAACTTTACAGGGGGGGGGGGCTATAAGGAACAGTGTGATTGGTTTAACAGTTATCACACTTCAGACTCCGCTCCTGCAGCCACGTGTTTGTAATCAGCATCACTTGGCTGTACTCAGAGCAGTCCTGTGTGATGTCACATAGTACATGAGATTGCAGTGGCCACTGGAGGCAGCACAACACTTTTTCACTGTTTTGAATGAGAAAAGTGCAACTGTAGCTAGTCTGAGGACTAGAACAGTAAACTGTGCTCTTCAAACACCATGTACACAAACTGACTTCAGCCTGACACTTTAACAGAAAGATTGATTCTATCCTCAGGAGCTGCAGTGTCTGGAGCGGGACAACTCATCTCTGCAGAGGGACATCGCAGCTCTGAAGAAGGACAGGGACTACTACACCTCTCTGCTGGAGACACATGCCCCACACTGCTGTCTCACATGCACGTCCACTGATACTGAGGATTCCTGCGTGGGACTGTCAGCTGGTTCTGTGACTGTCCCCGCCACTGTAGCACAACCTGTCCCCGCCACTGTCCCACAACCTGTCCCCGCCACTGTCCCACAACCTGTCCCCGCCACTGTCCCACAACCTGTCCCCGCCACTGTCCCACAACCCGTGCCCGCCACTGTCCCACAACCTGTCCCCGCCACTGTCCAACAACCTGTCCCCGCCACTGTCCAACAACCTGTCCCCGTCACTGTCCAACAACCTGTCCCCGTCACTGTCCAAAAACCTGTCCCCGTCACTGTCCAACAACCTGTCCTGACCACTGTTCACAAACCTGTCCCTGCATCTGTCCCCACCTGTGTCCTTCAAACTGTCTTCACCACTGTCCATTTGTCTGTCCCCACCACTCTCCAAAAATCTATCTCTGTCCCTGTCCACCAATCCATCCCTGCCACTGTCCATCGACCTGTCTCCACCAATGTCCGTCAACATGTCCATCAACCTGTCCCTGCACCCGTCCCCAACACTGTCTGTACCAATATCCACACCCGTGTTTCTGCCAGTGTCCCTTCCACAGCCCTCACCTATGTCCCCACTGCTATCTGTACCGCTGTCTCCAACTGTGTCCCCACCACTGCCTCACCTCATATCTCCACACATCTCCCTATCACTGTTTTTGACTCTATCACTACCAGTGTCCCCACCAATGTCCCCATCCATGTTCCTGTCTCCGCCCATGTCCACACTTCTGCCTCTTTCCCAAATGTCTGTCCATTTCCTAGCTCCAGCACTCCTGAGATGTCCTACTCTGTTCCTGTCCCCCCATACTCACCTCTCTCCCTCCCATCTACCTCCAACCTGGACCAACAGACTTCCAGCAATGTCCCCTGGCTTGGTCCACCCTGTCCCACTGTCCCTGTCCCGACCCACATCCACCAGACATCCCCCACTGGGAACAAAATCATGGACAGGTCTGCTTGTCTGGGCGCTCCTGTCACAGAGGCCTTCACAGCGCTGTCAACTGTGCACCCTTGGTCCCTCGTACCCCCGGTCAGCTCGGGGCCCTCTCTCAGCCTGGCCCCACAGTTGACCCATGACCTCCTGACCCCTGGACCAGTGGACTCCCCTTTGTCCAGTAACATCCTGGACATGTCACAGTTCGATGACAATCTAGTGCAGTTCCTCGAAGAGTATGAGTGGATATGGAATATTTAATAATGCAGTTTTAACATTGTGCCAAAAAAGTTATTGTTGTTTGTGTAGCTGATTCTCTGTGATGCTAACTGAATGCACTACTCTGAGACTTTAATCTGATCTTTATTTAAATACGGTCTGACAAGAAAGAGCTGGCTTAGCTAGAACTAAAATAGATGGTCTGATTTACTGTTAAGCAAGTCTCTTAAACAGAACACATAGCTCCTATTGGTCACAGGCTCCTGAAAATATGTTGTTAAAAATCAATTTCTTCTTGAACCTTTTTGGACTGTGTTTGCTATTTGTGCATTATGTCTCCATGGTAACTGCTGAACATTCTACCACAGAGATACATATACCCCCCAGCATGATGTCCCTACAACTCCCCAAGAGCTGGTGCAAGTGCAGGTCGTGTGTGAACAGAGCTGGGAGTTTCTGGGACCAGGGCCTGTGTAAATGTGGGACACTGCCGAGTCTTCCGGCATTTTGTATCCGACAGTTTCCAGGGACCAATGTGTGAATGGGACTGATGGAGGTGTGTTTTAACAAAAGTTTGTGCTGGCAACATTGCCTCATCTAAAACATATGGGTTTGTTAAGAAAATGTTGCGCTTACTGGAAAATGTAAAAGTGGGCAAGGTGCATTACAGGTCACACAACATGCGGGCCTAAATGACGATTTGGATTATACCATGTTCCTCTGAAACGATTAAAACTTTCTTGGTAATACCTTAATGGATACTGATGTTTTGATGTGTGGTCCAGTGTGTCCTACTGTAGAATTATATTGATGGCAATACATATATGACGGACACACCCACCCATCTCCAACATGTCCTGTGTGTCTTGTTGCTTTTTTGCTTCTTTTTCCTATAGTCATGTGATCTAGTCACATGATTGTAAGTGTATTTAATGACACCTGTGGGCCCTGTCCCACCCTTATGCTCTTACAATGACCATTTTGCTGGTTGAAATGCCTGTCTCCTTGTAATAAAGGACTTTTAATATATTTAGTCGGTGTGACATGGGTTTGTACCTTGCCCAATTTTACATTTTTCAGTGAGGGCTAAATTTTGTTAGGATTTCAAGTTAACCCTTGTACACCTGCTCTGCTACTTTTGAACTTTTTTATGACCCACTGAAGCGCTCTACCTCTTCTCTTCATCTGACATATGGATTTGTGTTTTGTTTCATTCACGCATGTTTGAATATCCCTGCATCACCAGCGCTTAAAATGCCTCAATTGAGCTGTTTTATATTTTAGTTTCCCTTTTGCTCAGTTGAGATTGTCAGTAGAAAATGCGTCATATCTGCTGGTGCACTGAGGAGTGAAGCAGTTTCAAAAATCAATAACTGTATCTCCAAAGTCAGGCCAATCCAGGGCTAAATTGTGAAAGTGATTCCAGTGAAGGCTTTGGAGTTTAAAAACATAGTGGAGAGCTTCCTGTATTACCACCTAATGACATCACAAGGAGTGGTTTCAGTCTGATAAAAGAACTCAGGATAAATGTGCAGGATTTGTGTGTTAAACATGTGTGAATGAAACTAAAGGTAACATCAGAAAATAGTGCAGTATAGACCTTTTAATGGAGGGATTCCATCGTCATACACACCATTCAGAACCTGTACCCTTTACATTACATCAGTGAAGTGGCAACTTGCCTGTGTCATCAGCAGGAAAATTCAAAATGCAAAGACAGTTTACACGCAAAGGACTTTTTCTGACAGTTTCAATATTGATTTAAAAAAAATAAAGGTGTTATTATTTATTTGTATTAGTCTAATCATAACTATTGCACAATCTACACTGGAAAAAACAATATCTAGCTAAGTTAAAATGACTTAAATTAAGAACATTTGACTTTATTTGAGTCAATTCAACTTGACAATGGAAATGGAATAGGTATGTTTTTCTTAATTCAAGAAACATTCGATTTTGTTTATTATTTTAAGCGAAAAAACATTGTTGCTTTTCTTATTTTAAGTGTAGTGAGATGTGTTTTCATAGTTTAAGTACAAAAAGTCTTGTTTCATTTTACTTCAAGTGAAATTTACTAAAATCATGATAAAACTTCTTAATTCAAGTGAACTTAAATTAGCTGGATTTTGTTTTTTGCAGTGTAGACCCTTTTACATTATGGTTGCTAGTTATGAAATTATATCTAGGCTACGTACAGGCCAGATTTTGAGTGAAATCTTAAACTGTTAAATGTGTGAGCAGGATGCACTTCAGTTCAATGATTCATTTATAATACTTAGAGTGATGGGTGAAAGGGGATTACATTTTGGAGCCTCCATATCGTATTTTAGGTGGACACAAAGAGTAAAGGAGGATTTGTGATGAAGTGAAACAGAATGTGGCTTGTGTTCAGGGTTTTACTGTATTTGATAGGACATGTGAAAGGGTCAGAAGCTGGAGAATGCGCATACATGTGTGTACAGTCCATGTTTATATCTGAGCACATGGTCTGTCCTGACCCTGAGTCTGTCCTGACCCCAAGTCTGTCCTGACCTGGAGTCTGTCCTGACCCTGAGTCTGTCCTGACCCCGAGTCTGTCCTGACCCGGAGTCTGTCCTGACCCGGAGTGTGTCCTGACCCCGAGTCTGTCCTGACCCGGAGTCTGTCCTGACCCGGAGTCTGTCCTGACCCGGAGTCTGTCCTGACTTGGAGTCTGTCCTGACCTGGAGACTGCACTGGCATAATTTTACACATTATATAGTTTTTTATTTTTTAGTATAGTTTTACACTCATGTCCACCATATGGTCACATGTCACTGTCAGTCATTCAAACTTTATTTATAAAGAGCTTCTAATGTCACTTCATGGTCATTCAAGTACGGTTCAAAGAGAAGAGCTGAATATGTTTTTATTGTGTGTAATGTAATAATGACAGAACATGTTTCAGTGTAATGTGTGATTTTCTCATTAAAAGGACTTTACTGGACTTATCTGCTCCTCTTCAGACTTCTCCTGTGCTCATGTGGCTGCCAACACATTGAACCGAGCCAGCACACTGATGTCTGTCCTTTGGCAAGACACTTCCCACCTTGCTATGGGTGTGAGGGTTTGATGGCACAGACTGTGAGCCTCGCTTTGGTCAGTACGGGTCCCGTAGCTGCAGCTACAAACGCACACGTACATCAGCCCTGTGTCATAAATCTGAACATGTGAGTGTGTACAGTGTGTAGCGCATCATGTACCTGTGTCTGCGCAAACAGATGCGGATCCAGAAGTGGCGCATATGGAGGCTATACATAGACTTTCTACAGTCTGTGGCTATACCCGCTCCACGTTTGCGTCAGGCTGCTTTTAAAGGAGCAGCGCAGCACTCACGCGGTCCTGGCTGTGCGCGCGGGAGCACGAGTGGACACTGAACAATGGCGCTGACGCACAGACGCCTCCACGCAGCACGCACGCGGCACGCACGCGCCGCGGAGGGGAAGACGAGGTGAGGGCGCATCAGCCGCGACCACAGCTGTCTGCAGCTGCCGCCATAGTGCGCGCGCTCAGACTACCGCGGCGCGTGCACCGTACGCGTGCACGGCACGTGCGCACCGTGAGTGCACACAGCGTATGTGCACTGTGTGCGCGCAGAGCCCCCACCAGCAGACGTAAATAAAAGCAGAGAATTAAATAAATAAGTGCATCCTATAGCGTCATCCGCAGTGAGCCCACTCCTCTCACTGCATCAGCCCGAGGAGCCGCGTGAAGGCCCGGGGACGAGGCACCAAGCGTCCGGCACCGACTTTCAAAATAAAACTACACAACTACCCCAATCAGAACAGGCCTACTGCTGTTTGACCCGGTGGTGCGGGGAGTTTTTATGTAGCATCCTGTATGACAGGCCTCATAACTACAGCACGAACAGTCGGAGCGGTCCGGACGCCTACTGACTCCTACTGTCTGTGGACAATTTCAAACGCCTCTTACTACGGGTCCTGTTTGAAGTTTTACTGTGAAAAGCCGTATGTCGTATTTCCTCCGCGGTCCCTGCGCGTTGTCTTTGTTTTGACTAACCTGGATGAGGACAACCGGATAACGGCGATCACCGAGCGGAGGAAGAAGCGCTGCCCGCGTCAGAGTGTCCGCACACGGCATCACTTTCTCCACGTCTCCGCGCCTCCTCAGCAGTCGGACTGTTTTACCTGTGCGCGGTACACCGGGAGGCGGGACATCAGCTGCGGGCTTAGGAGCTGCACATGTCGGCGCGGTGAAAGCTGTCTCCCCGCCCTTAAACGGCTGGAGGAGGGAGCGCGGAGGAGCGCACACAAGCGCAACATCGACATTTGGATCGAGTGCTCAGGTGCGTCCTGAGAGCGGCAGAGGATAGCGGCAGAGAATAGCGGCAGAGGATAGCGGCAGAGGACAGCGTACAGGGATGCGGCAAGCGCGGTGGGCCCGGGCTGATGTTTGATGAGAGATTTGAGACTTGTGATTCGGTCTTGTTCTGCGCGCGCAGGAGAACAGCTCCTTCTCTGGCTCCAGATATAGGCCCATGACTTAGCGGTGTGACGCCTATCTCCGTTGCACAGAGGCGTGTTCCCGCGGCGTGTGGAGTCTGACGCGCGGGTAACTCACCGGCCCAGATACCCTCACATCCACACTCTCATCCACAGACGCGAGCGGGATGCTGCCATTTGCAGGCGGCCTGTGATCCGCGCTACGCACGCACTGGACATCAGCATCAGCATCAGCCATCTTCCTCTGCTTCCTGTCCCTCCTCCTCCTCCCCGTTCAGCGCTGATCCTCCCCAGCAGACAGTCTCCTGCAGCCCGAATCCGAGCCTCCGCTGTACCCTTCGGGATGGAGACGACCAAGCTGCCCCCCAGCCCCTCCTCTCCCACCACCGGCTTCACGGTGCCCTCCGCAGAGAAGGTGGACGGCTTCCCGCGGAGGTCCATGCGCCGGGCCCGCCAGAGGAGGTCCCACAGCTCGTCCCAGTTCCGCTACCAGAGCTCCCAGGTGGAGCTCACCCCGCTGCCGCTGCTCAAAGGTGAGTCACCCCGCACATGTGCGCTCTGCTCCGGGCACAGGAGCGGAGAGGCCCGGGGACAGGGGGATGGTGGGCACATGATATTGATCCTAGTGCTGCTGGATGTTCTGATGTATGGACATATCAGATTCGGTCTGTGTGTAGGCCCAAATGTTGAGCAGTGGGCCTATGGGGGGAGTAGGCCTGTACACTATTGTAATGCGGATCTATCCTTAATTAAAATACACAATTTTGTGTTTTTCTCAAGACGATTCTCCAATCAAAAAGCAGAGTGAGCCTCACATGACTCTCTCATTTGGGTTGCCAATTTCAATGCTGGAATCCAATGTGTTTAAACCTAAAATGTCTCTCTCTGATCTGAATGGTCTTGAGCTAAACCCAAGAACCTGTACCAATGTTACCAATGTCTGTTAGTGCAGTCTCTGCAGCTCAGGGAGAGAATTCTGGAGGTTCTGAACTTCACATGAGGCCTGTTCATAAACTGAGAATGTGGCACATTTGGATGTGTCTCTATCTGCAGGTTAAGGCTCTGGTGACAGATTCAGTTGTGATTGTAGTAACTTTTTAAAACAGTGAGAGTAAAGGATATAGTATATAGTTTCTTTATGTAAAATTGACCTGTGTGAAATTTTAGTCATGTTCCAGTGTAGTTTCTCCATCACAAACAGACCTTGAGTTGTGTATTGGTACATTCGCACATGTTTAACACACAAATCCGGCACATTTAGGTCTTCTCTCACACAGAAAAAAATCAGTTCCCCCTTGTGATGTCATGTGATACAAGAAGTGCTTCACTATGTTTTTAAACTCCACACACCTTCACTAGAATCATTTGGATGATTTCAGTCCAGGAATGTCTAATCTCTATTGAACTAAAGATAAAAGGAGCTGTTCATTTGAAAGCCACCACTTCATGACATCACATGGTGGAACAGAGTGTTTTGAGCTTTGGAGATGTAGACAGAGATAAAGAGTTACTCAAATGTGTGTGAAGAAAACAAAACACAACTCGAGGTTTCTTTTTGTGGAGGGAACAGCATTAAAACATGTTTAAAGCAAGAGACACTGACCTTTAAAGATGTTTATGAACTTGTATGAATAAATGCTTATGTTAATATTTATTCTAATGTAGTTCTTGATGTTTGGACAACAGTGACAGAAGAACGCTCTTCCATCTACTATAAGGTTCATAGTTTGATCCCTGCTGTGAATAGTGTTGAGCAAGACACTTGCCCACATTGCCTGGTGCGGTTGTGGTTTGGTTTAGTTTGGTTTCTGCCAGTCTGCCCCAGAGCAGCTGTGGCTACACAAGTGTCCTAGCACCTGAGTGTGGATTGAATGACGAAAGTAGTGCTTTGAAAGTCTTAAAGGAGACAGTGTGAAAACTGGACTTTTCAGAGCTTTTAACTAGGGCTGGGCGATATGGATCAAAAAATATATCTCGATATATTTTGCTATATCTTGATATACGATATATATCTCGATATATGTTCAAGAAAAAATAACCCCCTCAAACTGAAAACTGCAAAAACAAATCTGCCAAATTCCACAAGGTCTTTTTTTTTAAATTGAAGTGTAAGAGGTCGGCAGTTCATATTGGAACATTTAAGATTACAAAAAACCCTAATTACATAAATAATCATTTAACTGTAAAATAAACAATAATACCGGTACATATTTCCTTCTTTTCATTCATGAATAAAACAGCTCAACACAAGCTCATCTTTGCATTAACCCTGTTATCCAAACCAGAACCAGAACCATGAGCTCCTTAAGCAGAAGAAGCTCAGGATGTTCCTTATTTTAATAGATCCATGTTATTATCCAGCGTCAGGAGCTCTGAAGTTTAATCCCACAATCCACTGCAGATCAAACCCAACGTTTCCAAACACTATTGTACAAGTGACACTGCAGCAGATTATTCATTAAAATCTTCTGCATAAATACACTTTACATTGCTAAACTTTACAAGATATAAAGGATAACGACTCCAGAGCCACATCAGCCTGTTTGAGATAATAATGTGTTTAATGCAGTTTTGCGCACGTGTGTTTACATTTTACAGAAACTAAACTTAAGCACATGGCTCATTTGCATAAACAGCACTTCTCATGCAGCTCAGCTCGTTTAGCTTCTTTTGGGCTAATATATGCGACTCGGTGGAATATAAGGATGTGCTGCTGATGGTTTTGTCTGTAAATGGTGGAAAAGGTTCGTGGTGCTTGAAGCTTTTCACTGGCACCAACTTTCGGCGTTTACGGCGGTAGTGAGAAGTGAAGGAGACACGAGCGAACAAAATCAGGGAGGTGGAGGCGACGAGAGAGAAGGTAAACAAGCGAAGAGGTGAAATCAGAATTGAATATAAGAATTATATCGATATATACGATATGTCAGAATTCATATCGAGTTATATTTAAAATATCGATATATCGCCCACCCCTACTTTTAACCATGTTCTATTAGTTTCTTTTCATTGACCCTATAAAGTTGTATTTGGAGTGATCTGTGCATGTTTGAATAATCTTTTCACTTATTTCCAAGATGCCATTTTGCTGATCAACCCCAATTTTCAAATGAAAAAAAGAAAACCCCAAAAAAACATGCCAGTGTGATGTGCCGCTATCCAGGAGAAGCCCACAGCATGCGGCACTTTGTTGTGATGAGGTTTACTGCTACGTCAGCTCTCATTGGGCACCACAGTTTTCTAACACAGAAATCAGACTTGTTTTTTCATTACTTCGTTTAAGATCAATATTGTGATTTCAAATGTATAATGTATACAACATAAAGATCCACGGCTTTATAGATTTGAACTATATAGCAGACAAAAGCACAATATGTCTGGTTTAAATGTACAGGATGCTGATGGTGAGGGTTGGTGATGGTTTGACAAGTTCAGTGTCCAGTGGAGCACAGAGCTGAGGAGAAATGAGGGAGTATCACTTCTGAATCACATTCACTAATGTAAATGGGCAAAAGAGGTGCGAACTGTCACCACTGAACCTTTTTTAATTTGGAGGTTTGATTGATGTTGTGTCATGTGCACTGGAGTGGACTGGAGTGCTGGAGTGGGCTGGCGCAGTTATGTGGACTCTCCCTGTGGGGGCCCTCAGCTTAAGGTAAAGGAGGACATTACTGTTGCCATAAGGAAGATTGTCCTCTGCATTTGACCCAGCCTAAGTCGTGGCAAGCGACCCATCTCCAGATCTTGAGCTCATCCTGGTCAGAGCGACCTTAGCTGGAGGATTTGACCTATGGTGCATGTTTTGGGGGAAACCAGAGAACCCAGAGGAAACCCACCCAGACACAGAAAGAACATACATACTCCACACAGACACAGAAAGAACATACAGACTCCACACAGACACAGAAAGAACATACATACTCCACACAGACACAGAAAGAACATACATACTCCACACAGACACAGAAAGAACATACAGACTCCACACAGACACAGAAAGAACATACAGACTCCACACAGACACAGAAAGAACATGCAGACTCCACACAGACACAGAAAGAACATGCAGACTCCACACAGACACAGAAAGAACATACAGACTCCAAACAGACACAGAAAGAACATGCAGACTCCACACAGACACAGAAAGAACATGCAGACTCCACACAGACACAGAAAGAACATGCAGACTCCACACAGACACAGAAAGAACATGCAGACTCCACACAATCACAGAAAAAACATACATACTCCACACAGACACAGAAAGAACATACAGACTCCACACAGACACAGAAAGAACATACATACTCCACACAGACACAGAAAGAACATACATACTCCACACAGACACAGAAAGAACATACAGACTCCACACAGACACAGAAAGAACATGCAGACTCCACACAATCACAGAAAGAACATGCAGACTCCACACAGACACAGAAAGGACATGCAGACTCCACACAGACACAGAAAGAACATACAGACTCCACACAGACACAGAAAGAACATGCAGACTCCACACAGACACAGAAAGAACATACAGACTCCACACGGACACAGAAAGAACATGCAGACTCCACACAATCACAGAAAAAACATACATACTCCACACAGACACAGAAAGAACATACAGGCTCCACACGGACACAGAAAGAACATACAGACTCCACACAGACACAGAAAGAACATACAGGCTCCACACGGACACAGAAAGAACATGCAGACTCCACACAGACACAGAACATGCAAACTCCTGTATGTCTGCAGGAGCCTGTATGTTTCCAGGTTTGTCTGTGTAGACAGGCCTGGAAACCTTGTAGTGAAGAACAGGTTCTAGCCACTGTTTTTAATTTTACTTCCTGGTTGGACACTGGCAGCAAATATAACATATACACATATATACATGTACATATACATACATACACATACACATATACATACATTTATACATACATATATACATACACATACACATACACATACATGTAATGTATGTATTTCATAACTGTTACTTAGCAAACGTATCGTAAACAACTTGTCTAAATTGCACAATAATGATATGATAGAACTAATAAAAATGAATGACAACATCTATATTTAGTTAAATGAAAGTTTAAACTGTCAGAAAAAGTCCTTCTTTGTGCTTAAACTGTCTGCATTTTGGATGGAGTTTTCCGTGTTGTGACATAGGCAGTGGGATTCTGTTTTACAACTCGGACATACTTCCTGTGTCCTGGACTTTTTCCTCTCATGTGTTGCTCCCACTGTGTAAAACTGTTAAATACTGACCACAGGCCCTGTCCGCCAAACCCAGTCAGAACAACATGGACTTCTTGAAGACATAATTAGGCCTATTCATTAGTTTCATCTTAGCTGAGTGGGTGTGTGTATGAGCTGATTCAGAGGCATTGTTTTAATAAAAAGTACATGACGACTCACATATTTACTGTCTTAAAATGTGAAAACAGAACTAGTTTATTTTAAACAGTTTGCAATGCAAAGTTCTTCCTCACTCACCTTATGTGTTCAG